AGGCAATTCATCCTGCCATATAGATACCCCTTCTAGTGCTAGAATTTGGACATCCCATAAAGGCCCATCAACAGATGTTTGGGTAAATCTAAGAAATTGAGAATATCCTTGGTGAAAGTTTTAAAAATGTGCATGTGTTGTTCATCCAGTATAGGCTACTAAAGTGCCAATAAATCCAAAACAAAATACAAAGCAAAGATATACTGATATGATATGTAGTGTTCAGTAAAATCCTATAACATGAGTGGTACAAATGACAATTTCGCTTTTAAGACAAGAGACCTTGATTCTTTTACCCAGTCATTCTCTAGAAAGGCCAATGCCTGTTAATTACCAAAATTTCTACAGATTACATAGTTTTGAGCCCTGTAACCTGCGACTTAATGCATGTAACACCAAATGCATAAGGCATTAAAGCATGTATTTAGATAATTACATGTTTATTAGCACAATATCTGCAATGGCCAAGGCAAAAAGGGCACTTTGTTTCTCAAATGTAGTGTCATCCTGAAAATAAAATAAAATAAAAATCAGTGTAGAAATAGTGACAAAGAAATGTGACTAATGAAACAGAAATGAACAAAACTATGATTCAAATAGTTAATTAATTGTCATTTTATATCCAGTCATACATACATTAAGGTGTCCGTTACAAAATCAAAACACCTATATGCTTCCATGTTGGTCTCTGTGTTAGCGTCTTTTTGGTGGGTGGATGGGTGTGTTGGGACTTTTATCTTCAACAACCAATAATATTTTTTAAAGGCTATTTACCTCGCCTCTTTCTCTTCCATCGGTACCTTCCAAATCCATGGCAACCGTGAAAGGCTCTATGCCAACACAGTGTGCAATCCAAATACCCCTGGTAGTTTGACTCCTGCAATGAAATTTATATAAGTTTATACATCTATCTTTTGATAGAGAAATTAAAAGTTGAACGAGTATACAACAGAGTAATAAGATAAGGGAAAATATTTATTCCTTTTGAAACAATAAATTTGGGAGATGAAAGAACTAACCTTCCTCTGTATGCATCCATCTCCCTGAAATTTGTGTGGAAAAGATGATTTAACAGAGTGCTCTTCCCTGTAAACAGAAGAGAAAGTCCTTTAATCTACAAGACACACCCTTATAAGCAATCCATTGTATAGAGAGTGAAGGAATTAAAGATAGAAGCTGGCATCCCTCTAAACCATGTGCTTCAAAAATATTACAAGAGAGGTGTGTATCAATATAACGAGATCAACAATGAAACTAAACTTAGAAAGAAAAATGGGAGAATCTAATTTTTTTTTTAATAAAAAATTATGATGGAAGGATAAATAGTAATGTCTATATCAGCATGCAAGTATTAGCCTTTCAAATCTAACTTTCTAATAAAAACAATTGGAAATGAATTCTCTTCCAAAATCCATTATATTTGACAAAAAACTTTAGGGTTCATACTTGTTATCGCGCCAAGAGTCGCTCACAGAGATAGTTATGAACAAAAGCCCGATTCAACTAAACACAATCAATCAATTTCACACAAAAACCACAGAGCCAGCGAGAAAGACTGAAACTACAACTTCAACAGAAATGGAGACTCGCCCTACCATGTGTGAAGCATTAGAGTATGTTCAAACAAGAAAAGCACTTCAGTTTTCTCAAAGTGACCCGGAAAGCATCCACTCTTACGGATACACGCTCACGATTTCTTTGAGTAACCTTCCCTTTCGCTAGACTCCATTTCAGATGGACAGAGACTTCTATGATGAATTAAGGATTTAAACAGCTAGTAAAAAGCACTAGGCGTGTAATACCTTATTATTTCAACTAGAAAGTTTAGCTTTTTTCTGCGATGGAATTGGGTGACCAATGTAACTCCGGGAAATGATTATACAGAGCAAGCTATGTCATTCTTATCTAGCTATAGCCCTAAGAAAATAAAAAGGAAAAGCCTGCTATTTAGCACAAGGATGAGAAGAACGAAAACGGTATCAGGTTAGATTAACAGAAGAGAATCAGATATACAAACTCGATTTGCTTGAGGAAATGAAGTGTTCAAAAAGCTCAAAATTTAACTGAAAACAAATCAACCGTTGAAAAAATATTGACTTTTTACCAGAATTTCAATAATAACTAATCCAAAAAACTCCAAGAAATTAATCAGAGAAACAAAATGAAATCATAAAAAAAAAAAAGAAGAAGCAAAGCTCGAAATGAATTGAAAGGCAACGCACCGCTACTTTGAGGGCCCATGATGGCGACGACGGCATAAGAGAGGCCACATTGAGAGAGCTTAGTAGTCCGCATGAAGTTGTCGAGTCCAACCACATTGAACTCTCCAGCTCCATCGATCAATTGCATCGAGCAACGATGGTCCGCTTCCGCCATCCAGGAACTTAACCGGATCAAGGATTTCAAAAGAAAAAACCAAAGAAGAATCAAAGATGGATCTGAAAACACTGAATAAACAATAAGAAATTAGGGTTTTGTTGTCCTTGGTTTTGGTGAAGAATAATCAGACCCTGTAGACAGAAAGTTCTTTTCTTTTCTTGATGGTTACGTATGCCCTAGATTTTAGTTGAGGGTAAGAATAAAAGCTCGAGAAGAAGATGGAAAGAGAAGCAGTATTTTGTTTGTGACCAGAGCGTCTCACGTCAGTCGTCACGGATAGCTGTCTTGAGATACGATAATTTCTTTTGTTTTCTTGTTTTTTTTTTTTTTTTTATTTTTATTTTACCTTTTTGTTAATGGAAAATTAAAGTGACGATAATGGTGATTTAAATTTATACTTCGTGTCAACGAAGGGATGATTAAGAATACTAATCTTTTTTTTTTTTTTCAAAGGAGAGGGGAGAAGTTGAGGTCGAACCTCACCGTCCTGATATCTTTTTAAAATTTTTTTCTCATTCAAATTTATAAAAAATTTAATTTTTTATTTTTATAAAAATAAAAATACATATTAAATTTTAAAATAAAATTAAAAATAAATATAATTTTAAATTTTTTATCATGTAAATAAATAATATTACTTATCTCATTCATATAGTCTGTATTTATTATATATATTTAATAAATTAATTATATAATATAAATTTTATTTCAAATTTAATAGAATTAATATATTTATATTTTAAAAAAATATATTTATAAAAAATTTATTTAAATGTATAAAATAAAAATTAAAAACTAAATTTTTTAAATCATATGTTTGAAGATTATTTTTATTTATAAAAAACATATAAGAATAAGATGATAATAAATTTAAAATATTCATTTATTACAAAAATAAATATAACATAAAAAATTAGATATGATATAAGCAATATTTTATCCATCTCATATTTTACTTATTGAAATCCACATAAAATAATTTATATTAAATGAGTTTTGATTTATTTTTATTTAATAAGGTAAGATTCTTTTTTTAATCTAGGTTAGGTCAAGGCAAAGTCAAATACTTTTTAAATCAAATTCATATCAGGTTTTAGGTACCATCACCCCTATCCAGATATATATAAAATATATTTGTATTATTTATTTAATTAGATATATATGTATTATGTTAATAAAATTATTATTTAATATTTTAATTTAAAATATTAACTTAACAAAAATATTATATTTATGTATAATTAAAATATAATTTATTAATAATAATATTTTATAAATATTATATTAAATTAAAATTATTAAATTAATTTTAAATCAATTACAATTTATTAATATATAAATTAATTAAATCTAAAAAATAATATTTTAATATCAAATCAAAATCAAATATAAATATTAAAACGTCACATCAAAATTGGGATGAATAAAAATTTATCTTGACCCAAAATACTATCATCCCCATATATGTTATTGAATAAAATATGTATTTTTTAAATTTATATGATAATGATAAAATTTTAAATTATATATTTTATTATGTATGGTATTTAAAACTATTACATCTATTCAAATACATATTAATATAGAGAAAAATATATATATAACTTTTTTATGAACACATTTTTGGTTTATTAAACCCTCATAAAACATTATTTCCGTATTTTTCATTTTATTATTTTCAAAATTATGCCCATGAAAAAGTATTTTAATTATGTAACTAAAAAAGAAAAACACCTCTAAGCATGCTCGCACGTGTTAGGGTCATGAAACGCTATCGCAATTTTTTTTATTGGTTTGTTCACAGCTTTTAGCTGTAGGGTACTTTATTTTAGGGTAGGCAATTTAATCTATTTTGTATGAATTTTGAGGTTTTACGGGTCAATTTTTTTTTTAAATTTAAATTTTGGCCTAGATCGATTAAGATTAAAAAATAATCAATGTTGGATTAAGTTTAAATTTTAAATAAATTTGATTTAATTTGATTCAATATTATATAAAAATTTATTTTTTAATTAATTATTTATATATATTTATATAATAATATTTTTAAATATTTATATTTAAAAAATAATATTTTATTAATTTCGTATAAAATAAAATCAAATATAAATTATATAATATCAAATCAAAATCGATTCGAATATAAAAAAATAAAACAAAAATTTAAATATGATCAAATTCAAATTTAATAACACATAAAATCAAATCAAATTCAGAACTTGCTCACCCTAACCCGACCCGCCAACTCTACTTTATTTTGCGTAACCCAAAATTTTCAAGCAGATGTTACAAGCGGTTCGAGTATTGGGTTAATTAGATTTTTTTATTCAAATCAAATCCAATAAATATAAGTCTATTTTAAATATTTGTTAAATCGGTTAATACTTGATTAGTTACAGAGATGTTAATTACATGGATCCTTGGTTTTTGCTTCAGACTTATTAATTTAAACATTGGAACACAAAATTAATTTTCATCAAAATAAGATCGCATTTCAGCAATATATTGAAGCCATGAAACATCGATGAGCTTGCACCCTGTTCTTCATAAACCACCAATGCCATTGAAGAGCTTTCGCATCTAGATGCATCCTCGCAATCTTAACTTTATCACCTTATCTAATCTTATCAGCTTCAAAATTTTGTTTGATCTTAAGTAGCCAACCCCTGAAATTGCTTCCCTCAAATCGTGGGCACTAGATCTTGGAATATTCGGTATGCATTGTAGTTGTCATAAGAGAACCACCCAATTTCATCAATGGTTTGGTCCCATTCACATCCATTGTCTTAAAATAGTTTGACCATCGAAGAAACTGCTTCTTTTTCATTCCTTACTTTTGATATCTTCAGTGAACTCTCAAATTTTGCAGCGAGTTGATCAAACATCTTCCTAAGATCGGCACCAATTTTCTCCGACTTAACTTGCAAATCGTTATGTAGTTCTTCTTGCAGTTGGGTTACAATTTGGCTTAACTTGGAATCCAACTATTTTTGCAGTTAACCCAATTCTTTCTGTGCTATGGTGATTACGTCATCCGCCATCGTCGAATCGTCTATTCTAATATCAAATGATAGTAGCTAAACGTATTAAAGAAGATAAGCTGCAACAGAATCACTGCATAACTTTGATAAGAGAAAGAAGAAGAATAATCGAGAGAAAAAATGAAGAATTTTCTATATATTATATTTCATTTCTTGGATTCAATCCTTGCCAATACACTCATGTACCAACATAATAATGACCGATCATAGAATTAGCACCTCTGTAACTAATCAAATATTAATTTACTCTAACAAACACTTAAAATAGATTTATGTTTATTGGACTGGACTTAGAATAAAAAAACCCAATCAGCCCAACACTCGAACAGCTTGTAACACCAGATTCGAGTCCACCGCCGAGCAGCAGTAACCAGAATCGGAAATTCAGGTTAGAAAGAAAAGTTTTACAGATCCTTACTGATTTTGATGGAAAAAGGTTATTTGCCTTGATTTTGGATCAATTAATTTGGAAACAAAATTTTCTATTTTCCTTAAAAATGTTGAATTTTATTTAGGGTTATGCTTTTGCCAATATTCAATTTTGCTTTTTTGTCAACCCTTGATTGTTTATGAATACGATTTGTCATATAATTTATTAGATATTTGATTTCAATATGGTTTTTTATGTTAAAAAATCATGGATTTTGCTTGTTTATTGAGATTTCTCGTAATAAAAATCAGGGGTTTTTCGGGGATTCTAATTATTATTGTTTATCTAGTTTATCAATGCTGGTTTCCTTGAGTAGAATTAGAATTTTGGTCAATTTGATCTGTGTATGGTTTCGAGCTTTTTGTTAATTGGTTTATTTACAATGTTATTGGTTAGCAGGTTTAGATTCGCTTTATATGCCATTAACATTTTTATTAAGACTTTCTGAATAGCAAGCTTAATTCTGAACTAATTTGCTTGCAATATGTTGGCTGAATTCTATGATATTTTGTTGGATTCAGATAGGATAAGATGAATGGAGAAGTCCCCAACATAAAGAAATGGGTAGTTTTCTATCCTGTTTATATTAATTCGAAGAAAACAGTAGCTGCGGGGAGGCGAATCAGCTTGACTAAAGCATGTGAAAATCCCACTTGTGCTGAAATAGCTGATTGCTGCAGCCATCTCAAACTCGCAAATGCCATTGAGGTTTGTTCTTGTATGATTTGTGATGTCACTTATTTGACCCCCTTCCTTTTCCTTTTTCATTGTGGAAACTTGGGGTAGAATAAGACCAGATCTAATATGAACTTTTTGTGACTGATTAGAAACCTGAGGTTTCAAGTTAATAAGTATTTCCCTCAGTGACGATCGAAAATTGTTGTGGACTGCCACCAACATTGTTCTAACAATTATAAGTATTTCCCTCAGTAACAATCAAAATTAAGCAAGGGCTGTCACCAGCATTATCTATTGCCTCCTACAAGGATTTAAAACTTTTATAGTCTCTGGAGACAGTACGCCACAAGCATGGTTTTAGGGGTTTTTCATGCACTGCCCCTTTCATCGTTCAAGGATCCATCTGAGAGTGGTGGCTTTACATATGTGGTGTCTAACTCTAACCCATTGTTGCTTTCTATCTTTGGTTCCTTCTGCCCCTTTTCAGAAATCTGCCTATAACCGGACATTTAGGACTTACTATCATCCATGTCTCGTTACTTGTAAACTATTTTTGTTTCCCAACCATCAATTTACCAGACAATATGGTTGCCTTCAAAACTCAATGGCTTGCTACCTTTAGTGCAATTTATTAGCTAAATTATTTCTGCATCCCATGACAATAATCATTTGCCTATTGTTTTGTTGAGGAACTTGGGACACTCAAAACATATATGCCAAATATCTTCTCCATCTCACTCTTGTTGCATGCTTAGTTGAATTTTTTCTGTCAACAGTTAAACGAATTAGTTCTTGCTACTTGTTATATAAATTTAACAGCTGATTTTTCTGACTATTGCAGATTGATAAGGCATACCCACGCGATTTCATGCAAAGAGGGAGAGTGAGGGTTCAGCTGAGAAAGGAAGATGGGACTTTATACAATCCAGCCATTTCTTCCAGTAAGTATAGTTTTAAAAATATCAGAGGCTGATTGTAGAATAAATATATTGAATTCTTTGAAAAATGCCATATTTTTCATAGAAACATTTGTGGGCATATAAATTTGGTTTTTAAGTGAGTTATTTGATAGTGTTTCCTCTGCTTCTGTACTGCTGGATAAGTTTGTCTGAACTCTAAAGTAAAATGTAAAAGCACTTTCAATCTTTGATTTCACCAAATTAGATTATGAAGGGAGAAATGTTTCCTTTGTCTCATTGATTTCATTAAATTAAAAGAAAAAAATATTAATGACATAATGGATTATGACTGGAATGTAACACAGAGAATGCCACTATTAATGACCCTACTTCCATAATTTGTTTGGTTGCAGGAAAACAACTGATGCTTCATGTTGCAGAGTTGATACCTAGACATCCTGGGAGGACTAAGAAGCAGGAAACTCCAGCCACATCAAGTATTGCTGGATCTTCCAAGTCTGGGAAGAGTGGAAGAAAAAGGCGATAGCTCCTTCATTCCTCATGCAACAGAAGATCATGGTTTTCCCTTGAACATTTTCAATTTCCCATTGAGTTAAACATCTTCATATGACAATGATTTCTGTCAGTTTATCCAAGTGAGCTTCAGATTATATGTTTCCAAACGAATTCCTCAAATTCTCAATAGGTCAATCATTGAACCCTTGACTTTATTGTTCTTTAGATTTTGGCTTATCAAATGCTGATTACGGGGCATATGGTTGTTAAATTCAAAAATAAATATAGCCAAGTACCTCACACTCTTCCTCGAGCAGTGTGTATACCTCACATAAACACTGTTCTAGGAAACTATTACCCTTTTTTCATTCTTCAGACTATTTCCTGGTTCTTATTCTTTGCTAATATTATTGTCTGCCTGTTTGCCTTTTGCAACTATGCGTGTTAAATGATGGGTGACTATAGACTATGGAGGCGAGTGATAGAGTGTGGAGATGTTTTTTTTTTTTTTGTTGAAAAACTCCTTTTAATTGCCACACATAGCATTTGTTACTAACTTATTGTAAACCTATATTACTTAATCGTTGATATTTTAAAATTACACCTGATATTAAGATATTGTAAACATATACATTTATTAATTGTTGATATTTTCAAATAAATTTGAATTGTAATTACCATGTGCAATTTATGTAATTTGTTGCCAGCGTGATTCATGAGTATCATTTGCTTGTGAGATGTGCCAAATATCTATGCATATCATTAGGGATAGTTAGATATTGAAAAATAGTGAAAAGGGTTGGACCCTTGGTTTGATCTTCAGGGACAGAGTTACTTAAAAGTCAGATCTATTCAAGAATCGGTCTCTTGACAGCGCAAATTTGTAAAGAAAATGCTAAATAGTTTGCTAGTAGCAGGAGGGCTTTGACTCCATGAGCCAACATGCCTTTTTTTTTTTTTTCGGTAGAAAAAAATTTGAGAGTAGATAAATTGTTTAATCTTTTTGGTCAAGACAAAATATGTTATATCTGATAATCTAAGACGAGTGATTACAGGTCATGCATTCGAGATAATTTTAACAAATGATCACTGATAAAAATCCATAATCTTTTCGTCAAGAAAATTAAACTTTAATCAATTGAATCAATCATTTGTTGGTGAGCTAACATGACATTGATAGATAAATCTACATGCTCGGGGCAAAGGGTTCCGAGTTCCGACAACGCACAAGGTACAATTCTGTAGAGAAAAAACTGTTATGCAATAAGTAAAGGGGAAAGAAAAATGAGCCAAGGTCAAAGCAATACCAAGATATAAATATAGCAATTACACTAAATTGGAAAGGTTTCAAAACTTAGGCTATGTTTGGATTGAAGGGGAGGTGAGGAAAAGGAAAGGAAAGCAGGAAACATTTTCTTTGTTTTGTTTATCAAGTGTAGATGGGAGAAAGGAAAGAAAAGGAAAGCCGGGGAAATAAGGAAACTTTTCCTTTGTTTGGTTTATCATTTATACTTTAATAAATGAAAAAAAAAAAAATGTTTGAGTATCTTTCCCTTTTCTTCCGAAGCTTTAATTTTTAATTATTTCAAATTTGAGAAATCAGAAAAAGAAAGGAAATGACTAAAAATTTTAAGTATGAAATATTTTTTATGTTTTTATTATATTTTATCATTTTTTTAAAGAATACTATTATAATATTCAAATTTAACAATTGATGTTGCCTTTAAAGCTTTGTATCTCACCCCTCAACTATTTTTTTTATCAATAACTTTAAATTCTATATATTTTTTAATTTATGTTTAAGTTTTTTTTTTCATTTTTTAATTACTTCACAAATTCTAAATAATATAATTAAAACAAAAATGATGAAACATGTAGAACTATAGGAAAATACTACTACTTAAAACATATTAGTTTTATCTTAACAATAAATATTTAAGTTTTTTATTCTCATTTAGGGATTAATTTTTAAAATTTTGTAGTAAAAAATAATTAAAACACATTTTTATGAATTAAATATTAACAATATTCTCTTTAATTAAAATTATTTAAAATAATTAATATCAAGATTTTCATATAATAGAAAATTATTTTATTTTAAAAATATATAATTAAAGTAATATAATATAATATCCCCTTTCTTTTCATTTTTACAACTTAATCATCATTATCTTCTTTTACTTTACTCATTTTAACGTTGGAAACAAGGGAAATGAAGTATCATTTCATTTTCTTTGAAAACTTTACTTTTCTTTTCTTCTTTTATTTTCATTTACTAATTTCAATCCAAACATAAACTTAATTTGCTTTGTGGTTAGGTTGCAAAATCGTGACTTGAATTATAATCAATTTGTATTTTGACAATTTAACATAAGATACAATATTTAGCATTGTATTTTATGAAATTAACATTGGGAAATCCAAAAGTAATAATAGTACTATGTATATTCATATTGTTTGTTTCAACTTTAAATCTCAACAGAGGATTTACATTTTAGATAATATTTATAAAATATTATTAATTATCGATGTTCGAACTCAATTTATGAAAATCAACAAATAAATTGATTGAATCAATAACTTAATTGATTGAATCAATAAATTTTTATTGATACAATTTAATAAAGTTTGTTTTAAACTTAAACATTAAAGGAAGGTTTTTAGAACAATCTCATGAACATTTAAAAAAAATTTACATGCCAACTTTTTTACATATAAATTATTATCAAAGAAAAATAAAAAAAGTCACTTTTGTTCTTTTTTTCTGGTTTTGTAAGCGTGCGTATATAGAGTAAGCAACATTGAATTTTGAAGTGTATAAATCCATGCTCCTAATGTGTGTTGTTCCCTAATCTTGAATGCAGGCAGGACTCTCGAGAGAATTAAAGGCAAACCAATAATAATAAGAGATTTACCATTGGCTGTATTCGTACCGCTGCAATGAAAAAGTGCAGGCTAGAGTCCAAAAACTCGGAACGAAAGGGCAATTCAAAGGGGCTTCTAGACCCCATGGCCTGTCCTCCCTTGGGTCAAAACCCAGGTCAAATTGACCCCTGGCAAAAAATTTGGTACCTTCAATTCCTAGCTGGCACGTAGATAAAAGCGAAGAAAAAGGATGCTGATGTGGAATTGAAGGCTTTAAATGTCTTGGCTTAAGAGACGATGTTGACAACTGTGTTATCCTCAAATGTCTGTAATAATCCCCAACTTTACCATGTGACATTATGTGCTACCCAATTCTATTTGTTCTCTTGTCTTCCATGGTTGTAACCAAATGATTAGGGTATTCTGAGCCATGCTGGTTGGTCTTTTAATGTGGATCTCTCTTGCCTAATCTTGCTTAGTAGCAAATCTTTTTGGAAGTAATATGCTTAATCAGAATGTTTATGATGTTGTCAAAATGTGTGTTTGATTATTACAAAGTGTAGGAAGGAACTGTAGATTTAGTTGGAAGGGGGAATGATGATTGGTGGCTTTGCCACATGTGTGGTCTAATCTTTCATGGTGACACCCTCCCTAAAGCAGGCAACACTGTATCTTTTTCTCTATCCCATATTATCTAATACCCTTTCCTAGAAAAAAAAAAAGACTCTCTATCTCTGTCTTCACCTGCTTGATCTAGAGGCCAAATCAGCACCTTCCGAGGGCTCAGCCCCCTTTGAACGACAAAAAAAAAACTCTCTATCTCTCTCTCTCCTCCTCTGTAAAATTTTTAGGGTTTGTCGATATGTCAGTTTTTGCTTGGCCTTTTCTTATAATGGTGCGCTTGATAACAGCTTTTTCTCTCCCACCCTTCATCTCTCTGTCTCTCTCATAGTTTTCTTTCCCTCACTTTGTGGGGAGGAGCAGTGGTTTGAATAAGTAGTTTTAGATTTCGACTTTCACCTTTGAAGATTTTTTTGATGACTTTAAGGGAGGGGGGAGTGCAAACTTCCCGAAAAAGGAGCTGAAAGTCTTAAGTACTGGAGAAAAAGAAGAGATGTATGGATGGTGAAAACAGACAGCTTAACTTTGCTTTGCTGCTTCTGATCTCCTTTTCATTTACACAGATGGTGAAAACGGGCAGCTTAACTTGAAACCACCAAAACCATGAAAACAGCATTACCATTTTTGTTTTGTCTTAAGAGTGATGCTTATTGAGTAACTGATATTTAGCTTTAGGTAGAACCCATATTAATTCCTTCGCCTCAATTAGCAATCTTTGTGATATTTGACAACTCTGTTACCCAACATCAGATCAGGTCTCCAAAAAGAGAGCAAAAGACACTGAGTATCCAGTAGTAGACCCCCTTGGGCCAAGTTTCATTCTTTTTCAAGTTTCTCTTGTAAAAAGAGTTCATCTTGCTCCCTTTTCTTGAGCTTCTCCCTTCTCCTCCCTTCTCTCTCCCTATGTTTTGTTAGAGTGTTGCATGCACTTGGGGATGGCTGATCAAAGTGGTAAAAATATTGTATTGAGGGAATACAGGAAAGCAAACTGGACTGTTGATGAAACTATGGTATTGATTGAGGCAAAGAAGATGGATGATGAGAGGAGAATGAAGAAAAGTGGGGACAGTCAAGGGAGGAGCAAACCAACAGAGCTGAGATGGAAATGGGTGGAAGATTATTGTTGGAAAAGAGGGTGTTCGAGGAGCCAAAACCAGTGCAATGACAAGTGGGATAATCTCATTAGGGACTACAAGAAAGTGAGAAAGTACCAAAGGAGAATAGCTGAAAGTGGGGAAGGGAATACTAGTAACGAAGGATCTTATTGGGAGATGGAGAAGAATGAAAGAAAAGAAAAAAACTTGCCTAGCAACATGTTGCGCCAGATATACGATCGTTTGGAGGAGGTGGTGGAGAAGAAAGGAGATCAAAAGGTGGTGGCTGCTGGTGGGTCACGTTCCATTTCCAACATACCTTACGTTACGGATAGAACAATGACTAGTGTGCAAGCTTCATTGCCTCCTCTATTGCAACATCAACTTTCAGCTCCTATTCCAGCTGCAATTCCATTACCTCTACCAGCAATGCCACTGCTGCCGCCACCACCGGCTGCTCCTGCGCCATTAGTGCAACCACCTCCCCTTTCATATGCTCAACCATTGCCCACAGTAGGTACTCTCTCTCTCGCTTGCCTTGCTCACATTGCATTTTTTTTTCCACTATTTATCATAACATTCTGTAACGCTTTCCATTTCCTCTACATCAACTCTTGCTTTAAATTTGCTACATATTATTAATCTTGACGGATCACTACTTCCAAAGATTTCATCACTAATAATTGATAGTTTTCGGTATCATAAATTTTTCTATTATTATCGATTGAGTTTATTGGTTCCATATTTTTACGTTTTGGAGATGTGTGATAGCTCAGATTCTGATACAAGTGAGTATTCAGACTCACCAGCAAAGAGAAGGCGAAGAGGAGGCAATGGGGAAGGCACCAGTGGCACTGCCAGTGCAAACAACTCAAATGAAGTGGGCACTGCAATCTCTGAAAGTGCTTCCATTATAGCAGAAGCCATCCAGGCTAGTGAGGAAAGACAGGAGAGAAGACATAGAGATCTTTTTAGTTTGCATGAGAGAAGACTAAAGATTGAGGAATCTAAGACAGAGATCAACAAAAGAGGCATGGATGGCCTGGTTGATGCCATTAACCAGCTTGCTAATTCCATCCTTGCTTTAGCTTCCCACAAGAACCAGTCAGCTCCAAAGTGATTCTCTTATTAATGAAAAGGAAAAACTATCCTTTAATATCCAAGACAGGGAGAGATTAATTAATCACATTGGTAGTTGTACATAGTAATTGGTAATCCCATTTGTGATGTATATTTTATGTTGTACTCACTTTCATTGATCATTCTAATTTATATCTTCAAACTCTCATGTTTTGTGTTCAAACACAAACTAGAATTGGTTGTAATTGTAATCCTACCAAAAGTGAAATATTAGCAAATTGTTGTGCAGTTGAGTTTATCTTCAAGGAAGTTAAGTATACCGTCTATACAAGTCTTGAATTTGCATTATGCTTTTCCATCAAAGGGCACTCTTTAAATTCTCTTGTTGATCAGATAATTACAGTTCTAGCTGTATTGGAAAACAAATTAAACAGTAAACTAGAGAGTGAGAAAATGATAAATTAATTATCCTAATCTTTAAATTGATTGAACTTGCTTATGAATGTCCCGGATCACATGAATCAAAGCGGTAGGTCACTCCAGTGCTTGACGTCCAGATTGTCATACAAACTCTACAGCTTTTATTAAATTGCCTTAATTTGTTACAACTTCGATTACACCGATAGTTAAAAATTTATTAAAATATATATTTAATCATCGGTATAAGATTTTTTTAAACTATAGCAACGAATTATTAAATTTCGCAGATAAATTTTTAAACGTCTGGCAATTTTTTTGTAGTGCATCTTTGAAGAAAATGCACAGGAAGATTCCACAAAGTATCTAATGACAGATATCGGAATATCAACCCTACTCTTCCTTGTTTACAGAAGGTCAAACCCCAAAGAAACCATAATTCTGAACATGGTTGGAGTGTGAATCACACATGCAATGGCGGGAAGGTGGAATTGGGAGCTGCTCATCTTATCATTTCTTTATGAGAGAAATGTTGCAGCAACAGGGCAGTGACCAGTACTTCTCTGGAACTGGTCAAAGGCGACCAGTCAATGGATCTCTGAACCCCGAGGGATGTCATGGTTGGAAAAATTTACAGAAATGCCATTCTGGGCGCTATTATTGGATTTAGTCTTGTATTCTCTTGACAAGGCTGTTGTGTGTGCCTGTGGCAAAAGTTGAGAATTCAGAGTGAGAGAGAAAGGCGGAAGAGGCCATTATTGGCTAGTTTGGTAGGCTTGGTTGTAATTTTCTGACAAAAGGTTGTGTATTAAAGTTGGCCTTTTCTATTGGGTATTAGGATAGAGATCCTGGATATAATGGGCATTTTAAGCTTTTGTTCCCCTTTTTCTGTGTTATTACTTATCATCGGTCAAATTACTATCTACGTCCATCTATTTTGGCCATTTGCTACACTTTCACTGTTTCACATATCTTGTTCTTTTGGTAGAATGGCACTGCTGCTTCACATTTCTCCTCCACTATATCATGTACAAACATGACCATTTGTGTGGTTGTGGTTAGTATTTCTTTATTTTGTATTTAATATGTATAAAATATAAAAAATATTATATTATAATTTATATTTATATATTAAATATAATATATATTTTTTATATTATTATATTATATTTAAAATTATTAGATATAATACAATATCATAAAAGGACAACCACCCCCCTTCCCTCTGATTTTAATCTCCTTTTCTTCTTGGGAAGGAAAATAAAATGCTTTGTTTTTCATTATTTTCAAGTTTTTTTTTTCTTCTTATTACAAGCAATCTCATTCCAGGAGTAATTTCTTAGTCCTAAAGTTGTTTTTAACTGAAATATCAAATGATAACAGTTGGTTGCTCAGTAGACATTTGTTTGTAGTTAAATGTTGAAATGTTTACATATTAGATATAAATGCAACGGATGGCCAGGAGGACACCATTGATGCCCAACATGGATTCCAAATGGAGGACCATTACTTTTCAAGGCTGCCCTTATCATAAAACAAAAAACAGCTGTAACTTCTAAAGCCATCTTCGTACTGAGATTCCTGGTAAAAAAAGCTTAATTTGCTTGCTTCTTGCTTTGTCCAAAAATGCTTTTGTTCTTATCTGACAGAGCATACCAAAAAAAAAATGAAAAACAAAAGAACATATCTAGCCATGGTGCCATAGCTCATTAGCTTGCCTCTACAGGTTAGAGAACGTTCATATGAAGAATTCTTGCCCTAAGAAAAGGCCAAAAATCTTGTCTTTGGACCCTAGAGATTAGACACAACAGTTTCATGCATTATTCCCAAGCACTTTGATATGCAAATGAAGGAGCAATGAAAGGCTTTGGTGCAGAATTTTAGAACTTGAGATCAATTATGCATGAAATTTTTGAAGCAAATGATCTTGTTAAAATCATCAACGGCCCCTCCATTGTTGGATCTCAAAACTTTGAATTCATCAGTAAATACACACAATGAGAGGTTACAAAATACAAAACAATTCTCTAGTTGGAAGTTGGCACAGCTTTCTGTTAAGGTTTGTGGGGAAACATGTCTGGGAATTTCATGAAAGATTGAGTATTCACAACTTGATGTTTCTACCCATCATTATAAAGTTAACAAACTTCAGCAGATTGAGGTCCCATGCGCTGTCTTATTTGTTTATGTTGTTGCCTTGTTTATAGGGGGAAGTTGAGAATTCCTTTTGCTTTTAGGATTAAATAATCCTACATTTTCTTGGCCTATGGCAAATTGGTCTATCACTCTTTATTAACAGTACGGTGAACCCTAGTTTCTTGGCAAATATATTCTATTTCTATTCGTTTATTAAATTTAATAATCGATCTCAAATAATATTTTAAGATTTATTAATTAAATGAATAGATTATGAATATATAAAATTTATTCATATTTGATTTATTTACATTCGTGATTAAAATATTCAATGAACAGTTTATGAACATTCTAAATTTTTATTTGTATATAAATTTAACAAATAATTACAGACAATATTCAAATTCATTAACTAAATAAAAAAAATTCATTTATATTTGGAAAGTTTCCAACTCTTATTTCTCACTTGGGGCTCAACTCAAATGGCCCATCCGCCATGGATTATGGTCCGACTGGGTTTTTTAATGAGATGTTAAACCCAAACCAAAAACGTTCTGAAATTGGATTCATAAAGCCCAATCTTGTTTAGAGTCATAGTACTGGACTCCAATCTTTGGGTTGGAGAAAAGACAAGATAATGGCTAAGCTGTTGCCACGTGGAATGGTGACTAGTTAATACCCTAGAAAAAGAGATTATTATAAAAATAAAAAAGGAGTACAAATTAAAAAGAAAATGCAATAAATTTCCGAAGAAGAAAAGAAAATCAAAATATCGCTTTCGTGTTTGGATTCGAGTCATTGGCAGACTTTGGCTTGGTTTGAAGGTTGAGGAGGATCCTTCCTTTTGCCTTTACCTTTACCCTTTGTCTTTTACATCCCTATTTTCTTCCTTTTCAACGCCTCCAACAAGCCACAACTCTCTTGTTACTGCCTAATTTTTCTTGATCTGTTTTTGTTTGGAATATAAAATCTGATCAAAGGATCTCATGGCCACCACTGGAAACAAGAACATCAATGCTAAATTAGTCAGTTTTCTCTCTCTCTTGATCTTAAACCCTCCTTTTGTTCCCTAAGATAGTTTTTTTTTTTTTTTTTGTTATTACAAGTATTTTGTGCTTTGTTCCTGCTTTAGATGCTGAATTCTGATCTGGGTCTTGATGAATTGTGGATCATGAAGGATTTTTATCTGAATTATTACATGGGTTTTGCTAATTTTTGCAAAATATTCTTTTGATTTTGGTGTTTTGTTTTAGGGCTGACCAATTCCCATGTGGGTTTTGCTTTGATCTTCGAGGTTCATTTTTATTTCTGAATCTTAGAGTTTTTGTTAACATTTTGACTCTGTCTGGCTTGCGTGAATATGCTTAGGTTTATGCCTAACTTCTTTGGGATTTTTGTTGTTCAGATTGTGGATATTATGTTGATATCATATCAGCTATTTCATTTCATTGGCTTCATACATGTTCTAATTACAGAACTTACTCAATGTGGATGTATCTTGTTGGGTTCAAATATTTCTGCTTTCATTTGCGATGATGCATCCAAACATGTCTAGAATTTGAGTGCCTAATTATTGTGCTTATACCAGAAGTTAAGTTGTGTCTTTAATTTCAACTTTGAACTGGTGTTTTTGTTTTATGTATGAATTGTTAGTGTGTATTTTATTCTTCAGGTTCTACTTGGGGATGTTGGAGCCGGAAAATCTAGTCTTGTGTTGCGCTTTGTTAAAGGGCAATTTGTTGAATTTCAGGTTGGTGATGTTGTGGAATTTTGTGAGTTAGAACATTATTAATTCAAAATTTGAGTTAGGAATATATAGCTTGACGTTTATCTTATAATGATTTAGGAATCAACCATAGGTGCAGCTTTTTTCTCCCAGACCTTGGCTGTGAATGATGCGACTGTAAAGTTTGAGATTTGGGATACAGCTGGTCAAGAGAGGTACCATAGCTTGGCACCAATGTATTACAGAGGAGCTGCAGCTGCGATCATTGTGTATGATATAACAAATCAAGTGAGTTCAAGATGGCTAACCAATGTCTTGTCTATGTGTTTTGGTCATGTAAACACTAAATTGCCTATTGCTCAAAATGTGACACTGGGAGATGAAGCGTTAAAACTTTGGGAGCACATAATCTAGGTCGTTCTTTGTTAAATTCCCTAAACATTACTGGTCTCAAGTCAAGCTTTCTATGAATCCAAATTTATGATGTGGATTTACATTCTGAGACATTTATGGTGCATGATTCTATACATTATTACAACTTGCCACCACATCAAAGCCAACACTTATTTGTAAGGATTTTAAAAACTCAGGGTGAATTTTGTTTTAGGTTGAAGTTTAAAACAGTAGTATTCCCTTTGTTGAATTTTAGTAGGGATGTGGAATGATATTTAGTATCTGAAAGAGGAGTAATAGTGTTTTTCTTATTTTGTAGGCATCATTTGAGAGAGCCAAAAAATGGGTCCAAGAGCTTCAAGCACAAGGTAGTAGTTTGCCCTCTCTATTCTTTGAAGGCATCCTTTATTTTTCTTATTTTTAATCCTTATGACATGTTATTTAAGTGCTCCGAGTAATTGAATTCTAATTTTTCTTATGTTGAATGTCTTCTTTTCCTTTTCTTGTGAAGGCAATCCTAATATGGTAATGGCACTTGCTGGGAACAAAGCTGATTTACTCGATGCAAGGAAGGTGGCTGCAGAGGCAAGTTATTAGTTTTTACTTCATATAACTTTTGCCTTCAAATTTAAACATTATAATATTACTGTTAATCAGTAGTTCTGAGCGTTCTGAGGTAGAATGACTGCTAGGATTAGTCTAGTTCCAAAATTTTGACATTTCGAAACAACTCATTCTCTTTTTGAGATGGTAAAGGGTTAAATAGATTCATGGTTCAATTTTGGTTTGACTTCAACCTACATGTAAATATCAATTTGACTTCTTATTCTCCTTGGTGATTCAGGAAGCACAAACCTATGCTCAGGAGAATGGTCTTTTCTTCATGGAAACTTCTGCAAAGACTGCATCCAATGTCAATGACATTTTCTATGAAATAGGTGTTTTACTTGTTGTTTTGTTAAGTTTTCAAAAAACATTCAGTATTTGTTTTATTGAATTGGCAGTTGACTGATTTTTATTTCATACAGCTAAAAGATTACCTCGAGTGCAGCCGGCACAAAATCCTGCTGGAATGGTTCTTATGGATAGACCTGCAGAACGGACAGCAAGTGCATCTTGTTGCTCTTAGGCGGTGGTTGTGTTCGCCTGTATCGTATAAGTAGCTCTTGTAATGCTCACTGCAATCAAAGTTTTTTCTTTCCTTCTTTACCTTGTTTGTGTACAATCATTGGGAACTGTACATGCACGATGTTTAGACGCTTTGATATCAACCCCCTACTCGTATTGGAGATTGGTTTTTCTTGTAATTAAAGTGTGGTAATGCTATGTTTCATTTCCATATTACAGCGGACATGTTGAAATAAATATATTCCATTTCATGTGTTGACTTGGTAGCTCGTTAACAAGTCGTGGTAATTGTTAAGAGAATGCAATACTTTATAGCACTTCACTGAATTACTATAGGGATTTTGAGGGGTCTTGTGGATGACCTATGTGGTTAACTGGTAAGCATGTAAGGACTCGTCGGGGCTGTCGTCGGTGGGTTTTGGCTCATTTAGTTTTGTATTTAGTAAAGATGCCGAGAATGTTATTACATCTGCCGCTTTTAGCCTGTAAAACTCATGGATGTAGTTTGTGTGGCCTTGTTGTATGGGACTTGGGAACTTTTACCTTTTTTTTCGTAACTTTTAAGCAGTAGTATAAAGTTTTGCTATGGGCTTCAAAATGTAGGGACTTCATTTTCCTGAAGTGAATATTTAAAAGCTTCTTTTAGACCTCTGGACGATGCAAAAGAGTACCAATCAGCAACTTCCAACAGATCATTGAGGATACGGCTTTTGGTGTTTTGTCAATGTTGATACGAGTGTTGGCTGCACCAGAGCTAGAATGGTTTATGAAATAAACAAAATGAGAGAAAAGAACGTAACTTACAGGAAAGGAATTTATGCATGAGAATTATGTTTTCTTATTTCTGGTGGAAGTGATGAATTCTGGTGAAACTGCATTTCCATTCTGATATTGTATATCATCATCGTGAAAAAGACTAACCCCATTGCTAAAATGAGTAATGAGACAATTCTGAAGAAGGGATGGTGTTGTCAGTCTGAAAATCCAAAATATGCTAATGAAGTAATGGAGTAGGCAACGAATTCAGCCAGAAAAAAAGGACTCAAGAAAGACTGAAGCATTGACAAAGTTTGTTTGCCTTATTACCATATGCAAGGAAGTGATCATGAACATGACTCATATTGGACCGTTGAGCCGTTGTCAAAATTATGAGATCAGTTGATACCGACTACTCCTGCATAGATAGAAGAAAATAGGGTGATCTGCTGTGGCGAAAAATAACTCAAATAATCAAGAAATGTTCAAAGATAACAAATTTATGGGATTTTTTTTTTTTTTATGAAATGGTAACAATTTTTGCTTTAAAACATTAATTCTTAGAAATCTTTAGTAGTGAATTTGTGTTCATGAAAACGAAATAATTGAAAGATATGGCATAGGCGTACAGACTGAGTGCAAGTCAACTATTTGAGTGATTACTGAAATAGTACATTCAGTTGGGACCATATCCAACAATCCCATATCCATCAACTGGAAAAGTCAGATCAGACTCAATTTTGTTTTTCATTAGTACTCAGATTTTGACCTTTTCTATATCATTTATACATCGCAGGAGTAGAAAAATATACAAATCTCTGACAGATCAATATCCGAAGATATTAGACTCAAGTTTACTTCCTATATTCGCCGTTGCCTCTTTGCTAAAGTCCTCACCAAACCTTTAATAATCTTCCCAAACCACACCAAGTTCATGGTAGCTAATACTGACGGCACCACAAAAACCAAGACATAGCCAAAGGTATGCATCTTGATCACCTATTGAGCCAAACACGTCAGAACAGATTCTTACCAAATACTTGTATAACAAAGCAATCAGTGATACCAGAATTGTTCAAATGGGCGTGGAATTTCTTAAGAGTTGGTTGCCGCACGACGTACAGGATCAATAAACAAGAAAATAGCAAGCTTATAGAATAAATTCAAAAGAGGCTGAAATTTCAGGATGAAATGAAAACTGACATGAAGACAAGCCATGCTTTAAAATACAGATCAATGAAAATCTGCAAGTACTTGCAAGAAATTTTTATTACATGATGTATATAATTTAATAGAACTCATCTATCACTATATATATAATTAAATAACCATGCAGCAAATGATCTTTTTGGCTGCAAATAGGAAAGACAAGGTGAATTTATCCAAAAAAGAAAATGAGGCAGGGGAAAAAGGGGTTGCAGCAAAGCTGGAATCTAATAGCCACTGAAAATTTGGAATTGTTATCAAATAAATGAATGATAGATTCCTACTTTTAGCTTTAATTTCTCATCACTCTTCTTAGCAGCAACCAGATATTAAAAAGACCAATTCATGAAAATCTAAAAGATATGGAAGAATAGAAAATATTAGTCAATGCAGAAAAGTAGTTGAAGACAACAAAAACATTCAGTTAAAGCTAAAATATCAGGGAAGTAAAATTACCTGCTGATAATGCAAGTACACATGGTAGAACAGGTAGCCAAACAGAAGAACTCTTGCAATCTGCAATTCATAACTTACTTGAGTTTCTAGAAAAGGTCTAAAGCTCAAAAGGACAAGGAACTTATTAAAATGAAAAATAGCAAAAAAAAAAAAATCAAAACTAAGGAACTTCTGCTATCTTTGAGACCAAAGATATGCAATATTCTCAAAAAAGCTTCTAACTGACTGAGAAACTCCAGTCAGCTTGTTTTGAGAGCCACCCACATCTAATTATCAATTCAAGTTTTATGGTATCACATATAACTCTGCATGTCCATTTTACAAAGAAAACTTACGAAGAGTTTAGCTCACCAGCCAAGCAAAAAAGATGACAACACCATTAATGAGATATGCACTGGATCTCTTCATACCAGCTGTATCAAGATACCTTCATCACAGAAACATGATATGGTTTAAAATCAGAATTTCAACAAATAAAACCTAACTAGTTAGAACTTACCATCTCATATTAATCTCTGGAGTTGTCACCTCAGATATAAGAACCATGTACGTATAAAGCTGTGCTTCTCCGGTAAACATTGAATATGCCACTGCAATTCCAGAAAGGGAGTGATGAATAACCTGCAATCAGATGCTACCATCTTGTTAGTCATCCCTTAACATTGCATATACTCCGTGAACATAAGCACTTTAAGCATGCGACACCTTATAATTTGTTGGTTACTGCACTTTTAAAAAGTTATAAGTTTCATAAAGATTCAGTTCTGCTCAACATGACAAACATACAAGTCAAAGTTGTTCCAAAAATTAATTACATTGAATCCTCCAATCTAGAAGCCTAACTACCCTATGCTTGCATGCTTTCTGGTGCATATTCAGTTAATGAACCAAATGGGTTTGTCTTAAGTTTTGGTAAAAGGAAAACAGCCAAGTATTTAAAGATAAAGTTTAAAAGGTTGTAGCAAGCGTCATTCACATGCTTAGCGACAGAGGCAACAGAATTGTTACCATCATTTCTTACAAAAGTAACAAAATAAACAAATGAATAAAATGTAAGTCAGAGTGCAGTCCATATAGAGAATACACTTACATATTCTATTCCACCTAAAGATGGATATAGCCACAAAATCATTCCAAGATCCGAAAGGAAGTATCCAACAGAAACCTGTAAAATATCGTAACAAATATTTGAAAAAGTCCTAGGATTTGACCCAAAAGTTGGTACTCGAAATTTATCCAGGAGAGTGATTGAAGAAGCTGTGTACAACTACAAAGGATGACATGCATCCTCAAAATGTTGAGTGGAATAGAGAAAAAGGAAGGGATGTCCCTTCTGGTTGCCATTATGTAGTTTAATCTAAACTATGCTAATCACTTTCATCCAAAAGGTGAAATCATAAAAGAAACTTTCTTCTTTGAAGAAACTATAAGCATATCTCATACGAATGAATGAGCTGAAAAGTGAGAGGCATCATAAGCATATACATAGGACATAGTGATGCCACGTTAAATAAGCATATAAGATGGATCCTAGTTCACAGTTGAGAATCTATACTTAATAGATAAATTGCCCACAAGATACATGGTTGAACTTCTTCAAGATCACATAAAAGGTTAACACTTACCCCTAATCCAAAAGTAGAGAGTGGTGAGCTTCGGAAGACAACAAGACCAGGAAGGTGTTGATCAGAAAAGAGATCCGACCAGAAAACAAAGTACAATGACAAAGCAGAAACAAAAATGGCATGAATTGTAGAGATGCCACTGCCAAAAATAAGTTAATAAGAAATGAGAGAATGAACATCATAACAGAAGCGGAAAAAAAAAAAAGGAAAAACTAGATCATGCATTACACTAACCGGTTGTTCCACTCTACTCGTTGAATTTTAGTAAGACCAGGGTAAGTCTTGATGTAAATGCTGCTGATTAACTGGGTAAGATCATAGGCCTGAGGGATGGGGAGAAACATGTAAACTGAATTTTAATAAAGGAGACAGAGGGGAAAGCATCCACGAAATCACATAACAACATAAAAATAGGTAGGATTTAAATTTAAAATGTAAATTCATTCCTGCGAGTTTCATTAAAGGGTATAAGCAAACATCTGCCCTTAGGATTCAAAGATCCTGAATTCAAAAGTTAAACATATTTACTATGGGAAAAAGTGAGTATACCACTTTGCAAGCAAGAATGCCACCAAGGATGGAAGTGTACGGAATGAAGGGATCGGCCAATAAGTAGTTCTTAAACAACATCTGAGCCTGATTTTGATAAGACTTTATAGCCATAACTGTCTGTTTAGGCACGGCCGTCATATTGCAATCTCAAAATCACCTTAGTAACAAGAGTATCTTCTCCTATCTTCATCCCTCCTTCATTCATCCATTCCATAACAAATACAAAAAGGTAGTCAGAAAAAAAAAAAGAAAGAAAAGAAAACTTTCATTCAAGTCAATTTTAGAATAAAAGTTATAAAGAGGAAAATTAGACATTGAGGAAGTTTTGACAATTGATACTACAACCAACCATATAGTCTACAAGCAAACACTACAAGGTGATAATAATAAAAACAAATGCCAATTTCCATCCTATTCCAAGAAATATCAGGTCTAACATCTTCTCCATTTAAGGACAAATTTAATTCAGTCAAGTTGAAGCAAACAAGGAACCAACCGAAACTATGAAAAGCTTAATTCAAACGAAGAAAGCAAGTATTAATGGTAAGACTGAACACAAATAAATATGTCCATTTCAGATAAGCAAATGCAAATGCAATGAAAAAGCAAAGAAATTCGAAGTAATCCATGTGGAAAACACCTAGATAACATTGGAATGAAAAGCAACATAAGGCAATCAAAGGTAACAGTAACACAATAGAAGCAAAGAAGCTGAGCAATTAGATAAACATGCTTACCACAAGCATGGCCTGCATATTTGAAGAAGCAACCATGAAATTCAAACTATATGCAGGTGGGTAAAGGGGGAAAAAACTAATCTTTGAAAGAGAAACCCCAAGCGAGGGACGAGAAAAATTGGGTGCTTGAAGAAAAACCAAGGTCAACCAATGCCTGGGACCTGAAAAGAAAAAAACTTTTAAACCCAAAAATAAGGTGCAAATGCAAATAGGCACTTGACAAAATGGAAAATAAAAAAGAAATAAAGGTAATCAATGCAAAAACCAAACGTCCATGAGAAGAAAACCAAAGCTTTTTAATGAATGCAAAAAGGAACAACAACCCATGGAATAAGAAGGCTCAAAAGTCAAAACCAAAACATAAGGTAGAATCGAAAGAAGGGAAATCAATTTCTTGGATCATTTGGATAGCAGAAGAAAAAGAAATGTGGCACCAACCGTAAGATTTAATCAGTGTGGCAAGAATAAATGCGGCACCAACTGTAAAGAGTTAATCAGTGTAGGAAGAGTCCTTCGAATCTCCAACCAACTCAATAATGGAGGACTTTAATAAATGAATAAGGATACAACATATCAAGAAAGTAATCAGAAGCCGCTGATTTCTGGATGCTTGGGATGATGGGATTGGATGATGATGAGTCGTTGTTTTGGGCCCCTTTATGGAGTGGAAGGATGCAATTTTATCATTTTGAAATGTGTCTCTTGTTTATTGGGTGATATTGGAATTTGGATTTTGCTCTCAGTGATTTATCATTTCCTGTTTTACAAGTAAGCATCTTTATGCCACTTGATATGATTAAGTGAATCTTATTTTATCAAATGAAAAGAAATTTGACATTTGAATTTGAATTATTATTATAAAAATTATGATAAATTTTATTCTTTTTATTAAAAATTTAAGTTCATTTAATATTTGGGTTTATAGTTGTATGAATTTAAAACTAATCATAAATGTTATGATCCAAATTTAACAATACATGACTTTGCAGGTCACTATTAAATCCACAACCATATAATTACTCCATTTGCTAGTGTGGTAGGAAAAATGGTTGGTGATTGGTTGAGGAGAGTTATCATTTGATCCACATCCATATAATATATATTTTTTTAATAATATATAAGAGGTTGTAAGTGTTAAAATTTTTTTTTATTATTATTAAATATTATTTTTTAAAAATGATTAAATTAATCAATTAAATTATATTTTAGATTCTAACTCATCATAGTTGATAATATTATAAATTTAAATTTTGACCGATAAAATCTTACTTATCTTAATATAAAATTAAAAGTGTTGAAATTCAATTTGAGTAATTGAATCTTATCTCTTATGGGTTAATTTATAATCCAAAAGCTCCATTAGAATAATTCATTAGAGTTTGAGTTACTAAAATATAATAATAGATAGTAGAATTCCAAACTTAACCCGATTCATAGAAGGAAATTTTATATAAAATTAAAAAAAAATTCTTCTTGAACAAGCATCGCAGGAGATCTTACATAGGATGGAGTGTTGCAGTGGAAACGAGTTCCTGGAATTAATCATAATTGTATTTAGCAGCCCATCCTTGTGGTTTTAGCATTATAAACATTTTTAATATCTTAGAAATTCTGACGTAGTTAGGAGAATGCAATAATGGCTCTTTCTTTCACTTGGTTTGCTTCTCCTTGTTAAACACGTTACTGGCCAACCAACCAAACCCATGTCTGTTTTGCATTTGAGAACGACTTCTTTCTTTAAGCTGTTTTGTTTTTCTTTTGTTTTATATATGAAGAAACTTTGGCAATCAATTAACTGAAAACCTGTTTCGAGCTATATTGCATCCTCTATAAATTTTTGTTGTCTTGTAGGAGCAGCTAGGCAAAGACATTTCTGTTACATAATTGGACACACAGCTAACTTTACTTCCCAGGGATATTATACAGGGTTAGTTTTTCATACACTGCCATCATCATCCTTGTAGACAACCAGAAATCCTTCATTATTCTTTCAAAGAGGGAGAAGATGCTGATGAAGACAAACCAGAGCGGTTAAGCTCAGGCCTTGTTCTTATGTGCTCCTGTCAAACAAAAAGGTAGGTCATCCTACCTTCATGAACTTACCTAAACGCCAAAGCATTTGGCTTCTGCTCATCGTCCTTATTGTTGACACAACCTACATTTCTTCACAATTTTCTGAGCTTATAAGGGCCACCATCTTTTAGGGAAGATGATGATGATGATGAAGACAAACCATTGCGGTTAAACTCAGCCTTGTCCTTTTTAAATGCCTTCTGAACATCGTCCTTGAGCTCCCTGAAGCGTGATCTTTTAACTTTTTGCTCCTCTGGGGTGCCCCTCTCAAGGTAAAACAAATCAGGAAGGTCATCCTCCATGAACTTATCTAGAACTTCCGAGCAATGAGGGAAATAGCGTCGACCCATCTCCACTGTGAAACAACCAAAATGATCAGATTATGAAGTGCGAGGAAATTTTGATTGTTTCAGTTTCCAAAAATTTTATATCTCCTGAGGTCGTGCTTCTTTAAAAGAGGAATCACATGACTTAGATTGACCTCAGAAACTACAATGCTAAATACATGATAATATTCTCGAATCAGGAAGTAGATTGACATTTTAAGGCCAGAAACTCATAGAGGTCAATTAAAATAAAAGATGCAGAACATTTTTGGGAACTCTAATTTTCCACATACTGATGGAAACAGCTCCTAATTTAGTGCTCAAACAACACAACATTAGATTAGAATTTACTCATGAATCATTCCAGAATAGATATGATGTAAGTTGGCAACAGTACGTTTTTTAGTAATCAGCATCAATGGTAAAAAATTTATGCAATGGCAACAAACTGAAATTTCCCTAACAAGTTGAATTGCAAGAAAGAAATAAGATGGGATGAAAGCACACAATTTAATCAAGTTAAACCAAACATGAATGGGAAAAAAATTAAGAGAAGAAGTGTCTGTAATGATAAAAAACCATTAAGCCTAAGATATGACTAAATGCTTAGGAACAAGAAATGAGAGCAAGAAACAATTATTTTGCCAGCTTCTTAGTTTTCTTCTACGCTTTTTTTTTTTTTGCTCTCTGATAGTAAAACTAGCATTGGCTAATAGTTTAACAAGTAGTTTGATCTATTTATGTTCTTTTTACTTGACCTAAAGAATGTGTGAAAATCTAATCTTCATTATTACTTGATTAATTGACTGTCTATTTTAGTCAAGTCTCTTATTTTTAGAATAAGGAGTGATTTGGGTAATTACACCAAATCCATTCGACATTTTCCCATTATATGTGAAGAGTAGATTACTCCTTTGATTAGCTGTTTTTAATGCTTAAAAATCTTGAGTTTTAAGGCTAAGAATATTCAGTCTTTAGCCTATATATTTTCATGCAATTATAGCATTGTAATAAGAAAAATATAAAAAAATAAAATAATTTTATTCTAGAAATTTCTTCATGGTATCAGAGTGCGATATGAGCTTTTGAAAATTTTCACTTGAAGTCCAATATGGCAAGTGAAAAGGAGAGCCAGACACTAGAGGTTACCTCTACTCCCAGAGCTAGCGTTTCTCAATCACTGCATAACATTACCACTCCTATTCGAACAAGTTCTTTAGCACAAAAAGGGAATTTTCTAAATACGTTAAGTGTAAAACTAGAGAAATCAAATTCAAAGACTGTGGATTCAAGTGCTTCAAGCTATATGACAGGGGATGCATCTGTATTTAGTAAATACAAACCATGTCATGAAAACTTCACTATTCAAATTGCTAATGGGTTACTTTTAAAAGTAGCCAGTACAAATTCTGTTATTATTTCCAAAGAAATAACACTCGATTATGTTCTGTTTATCCCAAATCTAAGTTGCAATCTATTGTCTACAAGCAAACTTACAAAAGACCTTAAGTGTGCTACTAAATTTCTTCCAAATATGTGTAAATTTCAAGATTTGGACTCGTGAAGATGATTAGCAATTCTAAGATCTGTGCGGCACTCTATATCCTAAAAGCTAATGACTCTGAAAGACAATATCATAATACCTATGGTGTGGCTTCATCCTCCAGTAATAATAAAGATAATACTATCATGTTGTGGCACTATAGATTAGGGCATCTAAATTTTTTGTACCTCAAAAGGTTGTTTCCCTCATTATTCAATAAAAATCTTAACAACTTTCAGTGTGAAATCTACCGACTATCTAAACATACCCATACCACATCCTAATCAGCCTTATAAATCATCCCATCCTTTTTTAGTAATACACAATGACATTAGGGCTCCCTCCACAATAAATAACATTACTGGCTCCATATGGTTTGTCACATTTATTGATGATCACACCAAGATTACCTAGGTATTCCTTATGAAGGAAAAATCAGAAGTGGGCCAGCTATTAGAAAACTTCACAATATGATCCAAATTCAATTCAAAACCAAAATCCAAGTGTTGAGAACCAACAATGGAGAGAATACTACAATTCAATCCTTGGATCATATCTAATGAAGCATGATATAATTCATCAAAGCTCGTGTCAATACTCCTCAGCAAAATGACATTGTTGAAAGAAAGAATCAACATTAGTTGGAAGATGCAAGATCCTTCAAGATGGCTACCCATGTACCTAAGCATTTTTAGGGTGAGGGTGTTCTTACCGCTACAAATCTTATAAACAAAATGCCTTCTCGAATCCTAAAATTTCAAAGCCCTTACCAATCCTTTCTCGGTTTTTATCCTCACCTTCGTATCATCTTATCTATTCCCATTAAAGTGTTTGGATGCACTTTATTTGTTCTTACTAGCCAACAAAACCAAAGCAAACTAGATCCCAAATCCATCAAATGCATATTTCTCGGATACTCCTCGAATCAAAAAGGATACAAGTGTTATTTACCAGTGACAAAGAAATTTTACCATTCCATGAATGTTACCTTTTTTTAAAATCAACCTTACTTTCCCAAAACTGCCATTGAAGGGAAGAATCAAATCACACGAGAATACCAACTTTGGGAAGATCTTATTACTAAACCACCAACACTTCTCAAACTCCCTTTCATGACCAAAACATCCAACCAGATCCTTTAACTCCCTTTTAAGTTCAAAACATCCAATTAGATCCTTCAAGCACTTCTCAAACTCCCTTTCACATCCAAAACATCCAACCAGATCCTTCAACTCCCTTTCAAGTACAAAACATCCAACCAGATCCTCTAACTCCCTTTCAAGTCCAAAACATCCAACTAGATCATCCAAGCCTAAAGTCCACAAAAAGGAAAACAAACAAAGAATTGATTGTCTATTCAAGAAGACATAAAACTCAGAAGGATCTAGGAGAATGTACACCTTCAAAGCAAAACTAAGAATCTGAATTGATTCCAGAGACACTTGAAACCAACACAAGTAATATACTCTTACTAAATCTGATTCAATTGAATCTTTTGATGATCTTGATCAACCAATTGCTCTTAGGAAAGGTGTGAGATCATGTACTCAACACCCAATTTGGAACATGGTTTCTTATGAAGTTTTATCACTCAGTTATCGAGCTTTTGTTACCATACTAAACAATATGTAGATTCCCAATAATATTCATGAAGCACTCATGCAACCAAAATGGAAGAGGGCTGTTTTGGAAGAAATCAAGGCTCTAAAAAAGAACAAAACATGGGAGATTTCAAAACTACCCAAAGGGAAAAATCCAATTGGGTGCAAATGGATTTTTACTGTCAAGCACATTGCAAATGGAAGTATTAACAGATTCAAAGCTTGCTTTGTTGCCAAGAGATTTACTCAATCTTATGGTGTTGACCATGAGGAGACATTTGCTCCGGCTGCTAAACTTAATTCAATCCGAGTGTTATTATCATTGGCAGCAAATCTAGATTGGGCACTCTACCAACTAAATGTCAAAAATGCATTTCTTAATAGTGACGTAGAAAAAGAAGTTTACATAGAAATCCCTCCGAGATTCCAAAATCAGGACAATTCTGGCAAGGCCTGTAAACTTCAAAAGTCTTTATATCCTCTCAAACAATCCCTACGTGCATGGTTTGATAGATTAACAAAAGTGGTAAAGAAGTATGGTTTTTCACAATGCCAAACTAATCACACCATGTTTGTCAAACATTCGCTTGAAGGAAATATAGCCATTCTTATTGTCTATGCGGATGACATTATTCTTACTGAAGACCATGTGAAAGAAATTAACAACCTAAAGAACCTCCTAGCCAAAAAATTTGAAATCAAAGATTTGGGACACCTCAAATATTTTCTCGACATGGAGGTAGCCTGTTCAAGGAATGCATCTCTATTTCATAGTGTAAGCATGTCTTAGACTTAATAAAAGAAACTGAAATGTTTGGATGCAAACCTGCTGACACCCCATGGACATAATGAATAAGGTAGGAATGGAAGAAGAAAGTTCATCAACTAATAAGGGTAGGCTAGATATCAAAGACTTGTAGGGAAACTTATCTACCTCTCTCATACAAGACCAGATATCAGTTTTTCGATTAGCATGGTAAGCAGATTCATGAACAACCCAACCGAGGAACACTTGAGGGCTGCGTTTTGAATCTTACAATACCTAAAGAAGAGTCATGGCAAAGGGTTTTTTAAGATGACATCAGCCAAAATGTTGAAATTTACACTGATGTTGATTGGGCTGGATCCATTACTGACCAAAGATCAACTATTGGTTATTGTACCTATGTGTGGAGAAATTTGGTTACTTGACGAAGCAAGAAGCAATCTGTGGTGGTTAGAAGTAGCGCAAAAGCTGAATTTAGAGCTATATCTCATGGCATATGTGAGGGAATTTGGCTGAAAAAATTGCTAGGGGAGTTAAAGGTCTCTGCAGAAGAATTCATGAAGATATTCTGCCAGAACAAAGCTGCTATAAGTATAGCAAAGAATCCTATTCATCATGATAGGAATAAACATGTGGAGATTGATCATCACTTCATCAAAGAGAAGATAGAGGGAAGGAATTGTTAGATTAGTTTATACTCCCACATGCCTCCAAACTGCAGACATACTCACTAAAGATCTCTCTCGAAACAAATTTGACAATCTGAAGTCCAAGCTGGGCATGATTGACATCTACCACCCAGCTTGAGGGGGAGTGTAGAAATCTAATCTTCATTATTATTTGATTAATTGACTTTGTCTATTTTAGTTAAATCTCTTATTTTTAGAATAAGGAGTGATTTGGGTAATTACACCAAATCCATTAGATATTTTCCCATTATGGGTAGAGAGTAAATTACTCCTTTGATTAGCTGTTTTTAATGCATGAAAATCTTAGGTTTTGAGGCTGAAAATATTCAGTCTTTAGCCTATATATTTTCATACAATTCTAGCATTGTAATAAGAAAAATATAGAAAAATAAAATAGTTTTATTCTAGAGATTTCTGCAGAACGATTCTTCTTGTCCCAACCCATATGACCCCTGTTCAAGCCACTAAAGAGTACTTGTTTGGACAGGACATTGACAAAAATGACTCTTAACTGCTAAACCAAGAAAGCATGCTGCCATTGAAAAGTGAAACTGAAGACCTGCAAATGAGAATATTTACAGCTTTCAATCACCTGTTTTCATAAGGGCCTCCATCCTCGCAAGAAGTCTTTTCTTCTGCATAAATGGTGTCTCATTCAAGTTAACCTGCCTTAAGTTTCCACTTGAAGCTCTTGATGAAAGACCAGCAAACTCAGCGGTTGTCTCAGCATGTGCTATGTCCATGGCAAGTTTTGCTTCACTAGGGAAAAGTAACCTTGCAAATGCCACTGCAATAGACAACTTCACTCAGCTAATCACCTAAAGAATATGAACTCATAATAGGGGGCACTTGCAGAATGAATCAAATGCATTTTTAATGTAAGTAGATAAATACAAAGTACCAAAACTACATTTTAAACCAAATTATAAGGAGAAAATGTCTGCATGTATATTATATCTATCTAAAAGTCAAATGAGAGGAAGCCTGACTTTTACCAAGTATTTGATTACATCATACTTTTTCAATTAACAAACAGAGCCTTTAAGCCGGACATCATAAAAGAAAGACCATATATATAACATCAAACACCTTTAGCTCAGCTAGTGTTCCAGCATCACTTGTCCTAAAATGATGATAACCTCCGAAGGAGCATCAATTACATAGTTAGCAGTCGTTATGGAATCTTCAGCTACATGCACATGGGAATGAGCCTGACTTTTTCATGAAGACATTCAAACTATAATGTGGCTTATTAACACCTTAAAATTTCCCAAGCATTATTCACAAAGAAAAGAACATAAAAGTACCATTTATCCAGGGCAGGTTACGCTTGCTTTCGACATGCAGTACCAATCGCACAAATTCAATATCATACGTCAAGACATGTTACAACTGTTCAGAAATTGTCATACCCATAAAAAATTTTACCTGTTTCAATAATTCTAAATTGAAAACAATTATACTCTACTGTTTAAGGAAATTTATGGAAATGCAATTAGATAAACCAATAGGTGGAGATAGAGAGGCATAGTAAATCCCCACAGAGTAATACCTCTGTTCTCTAGGTACAGAAGTCTCATGTGCAGATCATCAGCCAATGTATGGGAAGTAACAGAAATATCTCCAGCCATTGGATTTCTCCTCATTTCTCTCTCCAGAACATCAATGCATATCCTGTCTTTATTTGTTTCCTTCCCTTGCTCGGTTTTAGCACGATAATCCTTTGGTCTTGTCAACCTCTGGCAGATGTTAACAGCACTTCGTCCATCCCATGTCAATTCTGAAGCAGATGCCCCTTTTGCTAGAAGTGACATTATCACTGATGGTTCTTTACGCATTGCAGCTATGTGAAGAACCGTGTAACCACGAGAATTTCGCAGATTGACATCAGCGAGACGCAGGCCGAGAACCTCAGAGACAACTTTGGGATCACAATATGCTGCAGCATAATGGAGGGCTGTAGCGTCATCCAAAGTTATGTCAGACTCGGTTAAAAGTAGTTTAACAAGTTCAACATCGTCAGAGTCTAATGCTTTGAGTATTCTCCGGATTCTTTTTTCTTGCAAAGGATCAATCATTGCCTCATTATCTTCATCGATGGGTGGAGACTTGCGGCGAAGCAATCGAATACTCTCTGCAACTTCATAAGGAAGCTCTTTCTCCATAGAGATGCTATCAAGATCTGACCTTGCCACTCTATCAACACATTGAGAAACAAGCTGACTGCATTGACAATGGAAAGCAACCACAAGGATTGGGATGATATCTTCCACAAGAGCTTTGTCAACAAAATTAAGAAGACGACGCTGCAAATGTATTCATAAATGAAATTAGTAGACATTCTCTTGGTCTAATCAAGCCAAAAATGTTGTTTAGTTAAAGGGAAATTAGGGGCCAAAATCTATCCATGCTTCTTCATTTCAATTACCATGTTAGCACAATGATTTTTATTACATATTCACTGAAGGATGCAAAGGCAACCCACTGTTAAAACACTCACTGCATCAGAAGTTCCCATTTAACTTTACAGTGAGTACATATTCAATATATTTACTGAATATTGAAAACTATTACCATGATAGATCACACCATTACACCAAGTCAAAACTAAAAACTGATGCTCTTGAAGAGTAAATAAATTTCCTAAAAGAATTAAAAACTATCACCATGATAATCCCATACTAACCTGAAAAAGTGAAACCAGCTCCGGTATTTGAAATATCGATGAAGCATACATCAACTCCACGGCAAAATTAATGGCGGGTCGACAAGCATCATGAGCACAAACATCATCAACACATGTTGAAACCTCCACGGGAGAAGGCTTGAGCTTCCCAGTATACAAATAACTCAAGAAAACCTGAAAGGCTTCAAGTCCAATCTTGCCGTAAGGCAACAACTCACTCATGTTGTAACTTGGTTTTCCTTCTTTCTCAAAAGGCCCATTTCCTTTCTTGAACAACTCATTGAAAAACTTACTCCTAACAGCTAAAATACATCTATGAACACCAACAGGAACATCTTCAACAACTATATCAGCATCACTAAAAACAGGACAATTGTCAACAACAAGTTGCTCCAAGCAGGAGCTGAGCTTGGTCAAACTTATAACTTCAAGGCTAGACCCAGTTTCAGGAACAGAAAAGGAGGGTATATTGTGAGTAATTGAGCCATTTGATACATGAGAAGAAGAACTGAAGCTCAAAGAAGATGATGGCTCAGATAAATAAGCCATTGAAATCTTAGTCAGAATCTTACTTAATTCATGAACAAGAAAGATCAAAACTTTGGTCCCAAAAAACCAACTTTCTATTGCTATTGAACTAAAAGAAAAAGAAAGAAGAATTAAGCCCAGAAGGGAAAAACTGTGTACAAATCCAAAAAAAATTTGTAAAAACAAAAAAAAAAAATCCTACATGGGTTTCTTAAGAAAACAAGTATTCAGACAAATTATACACAAAACTGAGTCTTTTTTTTTTCAAATTTCCTTTAAACTGATATCATTTAAATAATAGCATACAACAAAGAGGCTGAAACTGAAGATCCCAGATTGAACTTTTTTGATCGCATTATTTTGATCAAATCACATGACTGAAAACAAATATATGAAGGCAAAAAAAATACAAACCGGCTTGAATTTCCAAGACCTCTTAATGAACATAATAACGAAGAAAAAAGGAAATTAAAAAAAAAAAAAGACAAAGTATTTTAAAGGAAGATCACGAATCAGATCCTATAAAAAAAGATAACCCAAGAACATGCACATAATTTACTTCATAAACATGCAACAAAAATAGAAGCTTGGCAAAGATCAAAGAGAGAAATTTTTTTTTTATTTTCTGTTCATGCGAAGATCTAAAAGAAAAAAAAGCAAGGACTTGAAAGCGTAGAGAAGAGTCAATACTTAATAGAAGTGTAAAAATAAAAAATAAAAAATAAAAAAGATAAAATAAGAACTAAAAAAAATGGTCCAGATGAAGTCGTTTGGATGACGTTGAAGGTGACGTGGTAAATTGGAGCTTGTTTCACTGGCGTCAGCAATGACGTCATAGTTATGAGGGGATAGTGGCATATTTAACATATTGTGCGAAAAGGTCCTTATCAATAGTCACCTATAATAAATAATATTATTGTTTAGCCCAAAGAGATAAACATAATCATTATGTTCGTGGTTGACATGTTGTTTTAATGCAAATTACAATTAGCTTTGAATCAATTTAATAAAAATTTGAAAATTTATCTAACTATTGATATTTATTAAAATAATAATAATTAGATTTTAATTAAAATTTTCTTACCAGCCTCTCATGTTTGCTCAATTTTAACCTTTTTAGGTCTCTACTTTTTTACAATAATAATGAATTAAAAACTTTCATTTGCAAAATAAATAATTATATATGTGTACACACAGTGTATATATATACATAAATATCCATAAAAAAATCATTAGTTATATATATCTTTTAGGTCATATTTGGTGTATAATTTTACATTATGTTTGAAATATATCTAAATAAAATTATAGAATTAAAAGAGAATTAATCATTTTTTAGGTATAAGGTTATTTAATCTTATCAAAATAAAAAAATTATTTTTAATTTATTGGATTAAACTTATATATTTATATCATTAAAATTTGATAATTTTGATATATAAATAAATTATCTTATTATAATATTTACACACATTAAATACAATATGACATTATTTAATTTAATTATATTTATAATAATATCTTATCTTATCCTATCATAATCTTATATATCAAATACATCTTTAATGTATATTTAAAAAATAAAAAGAATTAATTAAAAAGACATATATCATTATTTTAATTTAATTTATGAAATAAAAAAATTTATTGTAAATGTATCAAATAATTAATATATATATTATAGAACAACATATATAAATAAGTTTACCACATAGATACTTATATAAACAATTCTTTTAAATAACGCATAAGATATTTAAAAAAAAGATAATTTTTTTTAATTACAAATTAGATAATTTTAAATTTATTCAAATATCAAAATTATTCAAATTATAATTGAAAATCAAATCAATTTAGAGATATATATTTTAAAATTAAAAATATAAAATATAGATTTTATTTTTTTAATAAATAATTTTAGTTGTTTACCAAATAACCTCATTTAAAATTTTATTTAATTATCAAAATCTTTCAAACATGTTTAAAAATTACAAAGATTAAGTTTATTTAAATCTTTCAATAATCTTTTTTATTTTGATTTAAAAAATTAGTTTTTAAAAATTTTTATTTAACACATTAAAAATTCAAGTAATTTTAGGCAAGATTTTGAAAATTCATTTTAAATTTAAATAATAAAATTATCAAAATTATTATATCAATTTGAACGTTAATTATCAAATTTATATTTCAAATAAATGCCAAAATTTTAATATTATCTTTATCATTTATTATATCTATTTTAAATTTTAAAAATTATTTATTTAATCATAATTGACACTAAAGAATTATTCTACAAATTTAATACTACAAAGATAAATGTTTTATACATCAATTTTTTTTTGGTAACTTTTTTAAGGAATATTCTATTACAACTACAATTTTTTTTTATAAACTTTTTAAAATATATATTTTATTATTATTACAGTTTTCATTCTTATAAAAATAATTTTTTTCAATTTATTTTTTCTTTTTTCACATATTTTCTAACATTTTCATATTTTTTATAATAATTTAGTCAAATTTACTAAAGTGAAAGTGTGTTAATACTTATTTTATTATTTAAGTTGTTATTTAATAATATATATTTTTATTTTAAAAAATATAATTTATTTTTATTTTATATAATTTTACAAGTGTATAAATATTATTATAAATAAAAAAATCTTAAAAAAAGACATACTTTTTTTTTGCTATTTTCAAAAAATTTATTTTTTAATAATACGTTAATGTATATAAATCTTATACATATTATAAGTTTTAAAAATTTAAATATAATTAAAATTTTATATTTATATTAAATAAATAAAATTATTTCATATATGACACGAGTTATAATTTAATTTATATATATATATCTTTATTTTGATGTTTACTTGAATTGCATGTAGTTCTTTGTGATCCATGATATTCTAAATTTATTTAAAAAAAACGTGTGCTATTTTTTACATTTGGAAAGAGGTACTCAACTTACTCAAAACAAAAACTCTATTATAAAATACTAGTTGAGTTAATTAATAAGATTGTACAGGGTGAGTTCCCGAAACAAACAATAACTGAGTTGGTATAGATCGTACTTAAACAATTATTTTTTATTAGGTGACGAGGGAATTCCTTTCGCATCTCACGTCTCATTTTATTATTAAATTAATTTTTAAAAATATTAATTATAAAATACAATTATGATGCGATGAAAAATGTTTCCATCGCTAAGCTAAAAGGACTCACTATAAAAAAGCTACGGTATTCTTTCTTATTTTCCTTAGAAGAATCAGATCCAGTTCAGCCCATATTAATTGTTATCCTCGATTTGAAAAGAACAATTATGTTATATTATATTAATAAATAATTGATTTAATTAATTAAAATTTTTTTTATAAAAAAAATTTAAAATTCGAATCTGTCGATGATCACTTTTAAGATTTATTTCGATATATGATTTTATAATATCTATTTTAAATTGTTATATATGACATATCTTATTTTAAATTTAAGAGATGAATTATTTATCAAACTTCTTTAAATTTTTTTTAATCTAAAAAAATTTTATGTTATGTTATTAATGTTGTGAAACGAAACAATAATATTTTTTTTATTTCATTTCCTTTTTTTTTTTTCTGTATTCATCTATTTAAAGTCTAATAACGTATCAAACAAACTTAAAGTCTTTATTTTTCCTTTGATTGACTCCACCCACTTTATATGGTCCCCTTCTTCCTACTATTGGAGTTTAGAAAATTATTATATCTTTTGTTTCCATGACGTCCTTTCCCCCATTTTTGCTTCATAAGAGACGTTTATCAAGGGTTAAAAATACAAAAGTTGAATTTTGAATTCGATATTTTATTATAAATTTCATTTAAAATACATTTAAATAATTTTTAATTTATTAATTGCTCGCACACGTAAAATGCATGTGAGTGTTATAATATTTTTTAATTCTTATGGCTTGACAAGGTTGGAGTCTAACAATCACATGAATTTAAGAATATTAATTTTATACATAATTAACGAGAAATTTTTTTTTATCCGAATGAGAATATAATAAACATTACATTATCGGAATAAAAATTAGTATAATTTTAAATTTTTATTTAATATAAAAATAAAAATAGATAATATTATATTCGTACTTGTATTTATATCTTACATATATATTTTTATATATATTTAGTGAATAGATTTTTGTCAAATAATATAATTTATTATTTTAAATTTATTATAACTAATATTTTTATTTAAAAAATATATATTTATAAAAAATTACATAAATATATAAGATAAAAATAAAAAATAATTTTTATTTTTATTTAAAAAAAAAAGCTTAGGTACAATGATTATAAATATCTATTAAATACCCTTGATAATAAAAATAAAAGTAAATTTAAAATACTTATTGGATATGAGTACAATAACAAATATAATATAAAAATCTAAAAACAAAAATAAAAATAAAAAATGATTTAACCATTTTGTACATTAGCTATTAATATCCTTTATATGAATAATCCATATGCTTGAAGCTGAAAATGTGGACGGGTAGTCCACAACACGTCCCATATTGTTATAGTAATTGATCGAGTTTGATATTATTCTTATTAAAGTGTTAGTTTAGTTAAGATTTTTTATTTATGAGCTGGCATGATATGACTCCTTAATTGTTAATATATTTGTAAAATTTATTATTTTTGAAAATTAATTAATATTTGTAAAAAAAAAATTTATAGTTTTTTTTTTAATTTTTCGTAGACATAAGATTTAAAGTGGAATTGCGTAAATAATGTGGTTCATTTTGCTTTTTTCATAAGTATGAAATTAAAATAATAAATACATAAAAAATTAACAATAAAAAAATTTTATATATATGATAAAAAGTTATTGAATTAAACGCAGCATGATCCATTCCAATTTATAACTAATCCTCAGTGAATATGACAGAATAGAGCTAGGGATGATTAAAAAATATAAAAATAAAAATTTAATTTAAAATTATAATATTTGATTCGTTTTGATTTAATTTTTTTAATACGATTCGATTTAAGTTAAAATATTAAATGTATATATTAAATTTGAATTAAATTTTTAATTAAAAAATTAAAAAAACTCGAATCGAATTATATATATATTTAACTTTTATATATATTTAAAATTTTTATAAATAAAAATAGTAATTTCATATTAAAATTTTATATTAAAATAATATAAAAAATAAATTTTAAAAATTAATAAATCAAACTTAATCGAATCAATAAATTTTGATTTAGATCAAATGATGATTCAATTTAAATTCAAATCAATTTTTAAATTTTTATAATATCATATAATATCTAAAAAATTTAAATTAAATTTGATTCGAATTATTATTACCTTTAATTAGAGCAATGTGATCCGAATTATATTATGTCTAATATAGGTTCTAGCTCAACTGCCTAGGCTGCCAAATTTACCACCTCTAAATGTAGTACAACGGCAAACCTTATTAATGTTACATTAAGGCCCTGTTCAGTGATGGTGGCCAGTCCCATTTTAATAATGCAAAGGAGAAGGAATCTTCAAGGCACTAACCAGTAACCACCTTCACCGAATAGGCAAGTAGCAAAACTTTTCTAAGAGAAATGCTAAAGTCACATGAATTATCAATTGACTTTATACTTTGATTATAAGATAAGATTGTTGGATAATATAACATTTCTCTTGTTTCTTGTCATAATACCATATAATAATAATAATAATAATGTATCGAATTCCAATGATTTATCGTACCAAAAAAAAATCTTATGGATTAAAATTAGAGTGAGAGACAGTCATAGCTTAAATATATCATAAAACTAATTCCAGGAGCCATCAAATTTTTAATAATGGAAATATTTATGTTAGATTTATTTTATATTAAATATGTATAAAATATAAAATTTATCGTATAATAAATTTATATTGATATATTAAATATAAAAAAAATATTTTTTATTAATTTTATATTATATTATTTTTATATATTTTTATATTATTTTAATATCATATTTAAAACTATTACGTAAGAAAAATTGAAGTTCCAACTTGGGTTAATTTCCAAGATCCTTCCTTTTGCAGTTTCATTGGCAAATTATAATAGCTTGCTTTAGCTATAATTAATTACGGATAACAAAAAAATATATAGACTAGAGTTTATAAATAGAATAGAAAATATCAAAAGTCCAGCTAAGAAACTCCCTTTCAAGTCTTTGCACTATTAAAACGTGAAATAAACGAGTTAGATGATGACATGATTCTCTTAGAAAATTAAAGCTGTTTTACAAATTTCCCCAAAATCTATAGCTATAATTGGACCAACTTGTTAAGGTAGCTCATCCACCTTCCATCTTTTAATTTTTATTTTTTTTTTACTTTGAATTGTAAAAAATTGTTTAATTTAAATTTGTTTAATTTAAGATATTTTATTATAATTTTGTAATTAATTAATTACGATAAAAAATTATAAAAATTTATTTTATTCATATAATATTTTAATTTTAGCTGGACACGGCATTTGCGGAGAAATCAAAAGGAAACCAGGAATCTGATAAATTACTTTAGATCGGAAAATTCTAGAAGGCGAAATATATGCCTGCATTACATTCCATTCCCATATTAACACTTTTTTCCCACTTTACTTGCAACCTACCAGGAAATTCCATCGGTACTAGTCAGTTTTTACATTTTTTAAAATTATTTTAATCTAATATTGAATCTCTCTGTATTTACTTGACTTTAAAAAAATTATATATATAAATTTATTCGAATTCATAATTTTTAAATATTAAATTCAATTATATTTAGAGATTAATCGATTAATTTTGAATTTTTCTTAAATTAATTAAATTAATTTATATTTCAAAATGTCATGTTAAAAAAATACCTTAAATTAATTTTAATGCTTAAGAATAAGTATAAAGGAAACAGTAAGTTTTCAAAATGGTTAAAATATGCTTTATATTAGGAGTGTTAATCAAATATTCTTTATTATCTCTCGTTCATGAAAAGTTTTATCCCTATCTCTCATTAGTTGATAATGCAAATTATGGAATAGGGAAGCAAGGGTTTGTGCTTTTCGCATTATTTTGGGTAGTAATAGTTAGGCCTGGAGTGATCTGGCCTATGGCTGACACATCCATTGTTCATTTAATTTCTATTCTAAGGCCCAATAATCAATGGGTTTCTTGGTCCTTAACATTCAATGTGATGCAGACTGTTTATACATGTTGGCCTAGAAGATTCCAAATCAAAGAAAAAGAAAAGTCAATATAAATTGGGTTGAAGTTTTTCTTTGAGATGTTTAGGTTGGATTTGAATTTGAAATTTTTATCAATCTCTCAACATGTTATTTTTGAATTTTCATCAATGTATTGTTACTCAAAAAATTGAACCCAGATTTTAATTTAATTATTTCATCTAATAATAATTAAGAAAATCTGAAATTTAAATTTCAATTCTTATAATTTTTTTTTTTTTTACTTTCAGTTACCATATCTTCTGTATAAAAAAATTATCATATCAAAGATAGCAAAAAGAACGAAAGAATCTATGTTTCTTGGGAGCCCAAGGCCACGAACTTGATGTTTTTCTCCTTTACATGGGGGAAAAAAAAAAGTTGTCAACTACAAATGAAGAAAGAAAGTTTGTTTCTTAAAAAAAAACCTTCTTAGAATCTAAGTTGTGGACAGTTAATAAGCAAATCATTCATTCACGAGTCACGAATGCTGACCTTGTAAATGTCTGGACAGCAAAACAAATATCCAAAATTTCATGGATTTCTCGTTAATGACTCTAAAGGCGCTACATTATTAAATATAAAAATATAAACGAGTTACTCGGAAGCTATTCACTTTATTAATAACTTTTCATAATTTTTTCTACCAACTTATCCTTCCAACAAAGCCAAAGTGCATGAATAAATGTATTAAGCAATTAGAGGAAAATAAACACAAATATAATAAAAAAAATAAAATAAGTGCAAGCATTTTGACAAAGTACATAATCCATTCAAATGCAACCATACAAAGGGGGAAAACCCTTCTTCATAATGCTGTTTTCTGCTTTTGGAGTAAAGATTCACCGAATACAACAAACAAATGCATATAAAATCAAGTCCACAAGGGAATTCCAAAAAACAGAGAAAAAAAATACAAATTCAATGCATATCTTCAAATCCGTTAGATTCACGCACAAACCTCTTTACCATTCACTTTGAAAAGGAGTAAACCTGTGTTCAGAACATTTCTTTCAAACAATGGTGGTTGTCTTCATCCCCATTGTCACAGAGAATTTGGCCATGCTTCAGTCAAACAAAAAACATCATGTTTTCCATGTCTGCATGCAGCTTGAACCAATCATGAAATAAAGCAGCAGTCGACTGTGATGATGTTGAAATGGAAGACTGTCTTTCCATTGCCTGATAGTACAGCCGTCCCCTATAAGCAACAAGATCAGCATAGTACACAGGAGGAACCAGAGATACAGGTTTTGTGCACCGTGCAAAGGTAAAGCACATATCGTAAATAAGCTTCTGCAACTGGTCAGAAGAGAACCTATGTTGATCCGATAAGACATAGTAGTGTGTGGGCTTGCTAGTACCAAGGCTTCCATAGTGACTACAAAGATAGAAGTCAAACTCAAAAGGATGCACAATTTCAGTGTCAACAACTGTGCCCGGAGGAATATTACCAGTGGGACCCCCATCCCTCTGGCTCTGTGGAAAGAGACGAGTTTGGTGCCGTTTCTGAGCAACAATAAGGGTGATTGTAGGAAAGTAATCAATTTTCTGGAATGCACTCTTGAGATCCATTAATTCTTCATTGAGAACCATATCAAACTGGCCCTCACTAACCCCATCACGAAAGAGCACAATTTTTTCTGGTCTAACATTATTTAGCTGATAATAAGAATCAACAAGTTCCAAACACATTTCCCCAAACTGTAGGATCTGTTCTTTGCGATGGTATTGGGGACGAACCCTTGCTGCATAACGATTAGCCTCAGGCCAGTTCACTGTGGCTACTACAGCTGCTATAGATGGGCTAGTCCTATTACGAGAGCCAGGATGATTAACATCTGCTCCCACAAACATAACATGGTCTTCGCCCAGTAAGCATGGTAGCTGGTCATTCAGCTCCACATTGCTGCCCCCAAGCTTGGCATTGATTTTCAGGGCAAGATTAGCAAGGTACTGGTCCTGCCCCATATTCGCAAGGTTGGACAGACAACACTGAGTCACCACACCAATTTTAGTTTCAGAGATCCACTTAAGACAGCTGTAGCCATCATCCTTCCTCGACATCACACAAAGTAGAAATTGTAAATTTCCTCTACAAAGCTTATAAGCTTGACTAATAACTTCTTCAAGCAGTTGACGAAGTGCACTACCATCAGAAAATTGTTGCATTCTGGACTTTTTACATAAGAGAGGTTCCTCCATTCTCATCCCAAGACTCTTACACCTGTTTCTCAGCTTTGGAATGAATGAATTGTAATCCAGTCTGGATCGATCAGCATGGCTGAAGTCAATCAGAGCCCAACGCTCAATTGCTCTGCCTTCCACAAAAGCCTTTCCAACCATGTTCCACTGACATTTGTCTTTGTCAACTGTTAGCTTCATCGATTCACCAGTAGGAGCAGCCAGCTTCAAAACTGGAGGCTTAATCACACGTCCTATCACTGATGTCATCCTAGTATCGACTTCAATTCCAAAATTTTGGATATTGTTTCCACTGCAAGAAATAAATATACAAGATTTTAAGAAGACAATTCAAGAATGCAAAACCAGATTCATATTACAGGTGACCACTCCAGTTTGCTAGGATTATGGTACTAGTATAGGATTATACATGCAACTTTCAGATAGCAATAACATATACCCAGGCATCATACAAACAAACTAAACATCTTAAGCATGAAAATGAATAAAGCTTGTACATGTACACAGTTTTAAGAACAGCAATTTGGATCATATAAAGAACCCAAAACTTGACCAGAACTCATTCATTCATGCCAAAGAATAAAGAGCATAAGCAAAAATTATTGATCAAGGCACTTACTGAAGAACGAAAATTTCAACAATGGCTTACTGATAAAATCACCAGCATGGCATGTGACTAAAATGGCTTCACAGCATGTAAAACAAATAAATCATTACAACAATGTTTAATCATCTATGCTGGATGGAGACCAAAAGATTTATTATGATTGTTTAGAAAGAAAAGCGAGCAAATTTGCCCCATTGCTCAAAAGTTCAAGAATTTTTATCAAGTGTTATGCAGCAGCAAATTAATTGATGACAAAATAATAATGCGATAGCAAGAAAAAAAGTTTGTCACAAATGAAAGCAACAAAACAGACAAATTGTGAAAGCAAACAGAGAAATAAAAGGCTGAATTGTTATTTACACATACCCACAAGGTCCATCCTCAGACTGAACCATGCCACAGATCTTGCTTTGTCTTACCGACGGCTTTGCCAGTGATATTCTCTTCAACAAGAAGGCTGCATTTTGATCCAAATTCTCCTTTGGATAGACCTGCCCCTCAGCTAAGACACAGAACTCCATTGGGACATAGTTCATCCTATTGTTCTTGCTCAAATCTAGGCAAGGAATGTCCAAGTAGGTAATATTCTTGTTGTATTTCTTCCAGAAATAATCAACAATCCTAACATGCTCTTGTGGAGCATTTGCATCTGGAAAGGTAATATCACGAGTACTGTGACTGGTCAACCCAACTATAGCATATTTCTGTTTGGTACACCGATGGGTTACAGTAACCTTCAAGTTTCCCAACACTTCCTCAACATTTTGCTTAAAGCTTCCAAATCTATTCATATCAAAACCAGGAATGTGCTCCTTCAGAAATTCTATAACTGGCATTTGCTTGCGAAATGCCAAAACAGAATAATCCAGGCAAAGTGCTAGACCCCGGAAAGTGGGCTTGAGGCTATATTGGATCCCTCTGGATGCTGTGATGCCACGTCCAAGATCATCTTTTGGACAAGATTTAGCAGGATGGAAGCTTCGGCCAGCAGGAATCATATGCATAACTGGATTCTCCTTCATAACTACATCTATCCCCTGTAATACGTCACGAGGTAGTGAGGAGGCATTCCTAGTCAAGTAATCCCGCAACTTGCAAAGCTTAAGCTCAGTCACAAACTTTATAGAAAATATGAATTTACAAGGTTTCATGTCTTCCCCCTCAGACAATTCCACTTTGAATTCTCCTTCGGGTAGTTGAACAGCACTAAATATATTCTTTTCACCATCATATGCAGTCATCAACAATGGCAATTGAGAAGGATTATCAGTGAATAGCTTTTTCCGGATCATAGACAGTACCGTCTTTGATAGTTTCACAGGGCGACCATGCCTGGCAGACTCCAGTGGCCTGACATCAACATCATAGTGCCTTATGACACGGTCAGGATTGAACTTGACCGGAAAATGATTGACACGAAGCCTAACAGTCGCAACACATGCACCTCCACCTTTATCGGGTCGCATAATCGGATCAAGTCTATCCGTATACGCTGGAGGAGATGATGTCGAAGCCAACTGTTCTGAAACATTCATTGCAACAAAATCTGAAATGGTAAAAGGGAAATTTTTTAAAAAAAAAAAAACCTCAAATCCGAACATTAGTTGCAACTCAAAACCAAGGCTGAAGTCTAAGCAAATTTTAACACTAATCATATCTAAAATGACTGATTCTTTTTCCTAATAAAGCAAAATTACCCAATACAAAAGTAACAAAACATTACTTTGCTTAACATAATTTATGTCCTACTTCATCAACATAATAGAAAAGTTTGATCCCCTAGTCAACAAAGTCAAATCGAAAAAGATTTCTACCAGGAACAAGTTCTGTGGTACTAGGAGGTAATGGCGGTTCGTTAACTTGAGGCCGTCGTTGTGGAGAAGCACCAGGCCTCCATTGTCCCCTCCATGGCCCGCTATCAGGTGCACCGCCAGCGCCACCTCGCCCGGCTGATTCAGTCACATGACTATAACTTGGTCTCTCCGGTTGAGGCCGAGGGCCCCACCCTATCCTCCCTCTATTTCCACCTCGGCCACCACCAGTGTAACCACCTCTTGTGGCGCCACCCTGTCCGGTACTTTGAAAGGAGCCCACATAAGTGTTAGTTGGATTCCCGTGGACCCCACCTTGTCCTTGACCCGTCTGGTGAGGCGGCTGATGATCACCGCCGCCATGTCTCCCTCTTCCTCTTCCACCACCCCGGTAACCACCTCTTCCACCAGCTCCTCTTCCTCTATGACCACCGCCTCTCTCCATTGGACTCGGGAGCACAACTAGGGGAATGTGAAGTCGGTCTTTACTCACTCAGTAACCACCAGATCATCCAACGAAAAATTTAAAAAAAAAAAAAAACCGAAAAGTTTGCGAATGCTTTTGGAAAGCGGGACAAATAGGATCGAGAATTCAAGGCTTTATAAGGGGAAGGGATGGAGAACTGAAACTTACGTAAACAACCTTAAGTCGGTGGGTCCAAATACTAGGTGAAGAAGAAAGTAATTTTCTTTTATAAAGGAAAAAAATAATTAATATATTCTTTACTTTGATTAAACTACATGTTTAAGAAATTTCTAATAATAATTAATAATTAAGGAAGATGGAGGGAAACTTGTAGGTGTTCGAGAAAAGTGTGTGTTGACAAATTTGAGATTTAGCGGAAAGTATGAGTAGACGCCTGGAGGAATGGTTTGTTGTCTTAAAAATATATAATAAAAATCACAAAATCTAATTTTCAAATTCTAACATTTTTATTACACTTTAATTAATTTATTAAAGCAATACATTAAGATGTTATTTTTTGCACAATAATTAACTTTAAATTTAATGATTCCTAATATTGTTGATTTCTTTTGCCGTTTTAAAGATGATATCTACCTACTATTTGGGATTATTAATTACTTCATTTGTTTTTTTTATATATATTTTGAAAATTACGTCCACTAATCAATTTTGACATTGGGTATTTGCATTTTGACGTTTTTCAATTAGAAAGATAATATCCACCGATTTCTAAAATTTAAGTTTTTTATCAACAAATTATTAGTTCAATTGGTTAAAGTTTATTTTTTTCGATGAAAAAATTTTGAGTTTGAATTTTGTGGGTGACCACTTATTCGAATCATCTCGAATGCATGATTTACAATCACCTATTTTAAACTATCAGGTACAACATGTCTTATTCTTATTTAAGGGATTGAATAACTTATTTACTCTCGAATTTTTTCTTATAAAAAAAATTAATATTTTTCATGAGTAAGTGTTGAGAACATAATTTAACAGTTCTACATTTTTTTTTAATGAGATTCACATCTAACATAATGTTATCTAATTTGTGCATATTTCTACTTCGGTGGCACGTGACATTTTACAATATATTTTTTAATTTTTTTAAAATTTAAATTATATAAAATTATCATTCATGGAATTATGCATTTACGAATATTTATCATATTCATTAATTTAATTAATTATGAATGAGTATTATCATTTAAATTATGAGTTTACATTCATATATATTATATTTAATTATTCATAAATTTAATTATTTATGAGTCTATAAATTAACTATGAATTATTTTCTTTGACTATTTATGAACTTAGAGATTCATGTATTTATGTTGTTTATAAACTTAATTAATTATGGTTGAATGTACTTTTTGTTTCATGTTATTTAAATTTTGAGTTTAGATTCATATCTATTATTAATTAATCATTAATCAAATGCAAATTAAATGAATTTAACTATTTATGAACTTAATGATTCATGGATATATGATATCTATGAATCCAATTAACTGTAAACAATGTTCTTAATGTTAAATAAAATTTAAATTTAACATATTTATTAAATAGTATAAATATCCATAAATTAAATCAATATATTAAAAAAATAACATTCATGGCAATACAAAGAACATGACTTAGTTTTTACACATTTTTTTCATGCTTCGATCATTATTATACCTATCTACTCGATCAACAAGATCAACTCTCTTAGTTGTCTAAGCAACGCATGCTCAACTGACAAGCATTTTATGTAAGAATCGGCTTACCTCTTGCCAAGGAAAGACTTACTCGACATATCCTATCAAAGCATCACTTCAAAACTAAACACTTAATCACTAACTTATCTGAAATCATTAAATACAATTTACATTTACCTGAAATCATTAAATGTAGTTTGCAATCACCTATGTGAACTCTTCATAAGTTTTACATAAACTTACCATTAATTGATTTAGTCAAGTCATTGCCCTTAGTCTTATATATAAGATAAATAGGAGGCTCAAATATTCAAGTTGGCCATTAAATGCAATTCACACTTATCTAAGATCATTAAATACAATTCGTAATAATTCATATGGACTCTCCTCGAGCTTCACGTACACTTACTATCAAATGTTAATTATCTCAATCAAGTCATTCACGTAAGTTTTCTTTGAACTTCATGTAAACTTATCCTCAACTACTAATTGTCTTAGTTAAGTCATTGGCCTTAATCTTATACATCAGGTTAAAAGGAGACCAGGTATCCTCTTTATTGTAGCTTTCTCGATACATTTCATCTTTTTCTTCTTCACCAAACCTTAAACATATTACGGACTTAGTGAATACATATAGGAGAACCAACTCTATGCCCCCTAACTGTATTTTTTAGCTACAGACACAGATTTTCTCATCTTCAACCTTTAATTAATTTTTCTCTAATTAAAGCATTCAAAAATACCATCAACGGTCATGAAATTAATTTTGTTTATATTGGATTACGAAGGACAAGACATCATGATAAAAAAGATTCAAGTATTGGCTAAAAAATAAAAAGGTTTTAGATCTTTTATTGCAATGTAATGTAGTGGATATGTAATTCATGAAGCAAAACTGACAAGGCTCATCAGCTTATCCCTACAGGCAATGGTCTTTCCTTAAGAATCCTTAGTTTTCCTTCATAAATGGTTCCATCCCCATATAAACCACAACAATTCACGATCTATTTCTATCCCATTACCTCTGTATCCCACTCAGAAATGGCTTCCACTTTCAGGGTCTTCTTTTTTGCATTCCTGTTGGCTTTAAGCTTGCTCAAGGCCATTAGACCACCCCAAACCAACAACAACCAACCTCATGGCTCGGTTGAAGGTGGGTGACGAATCACCCAACTGATGGGACTCGTTAATTCAGCTTCAATCATGCACTGGAGAGTTTATCATGTTCTTCTTGAATGGTGAGACCGACCTAGGAGATAGCTGCTGTCGAGCAATTCGTACCATAAGCCATCAATGCTGGCCGACCATGATCGATCCGCTGGGCTTTACAACGGAAGAAACCCACGTTCTTGAAAGCTACTGCAACCTTGAAGATGATCCGTCATCATCATCCATTGGTCCTACTAATGAAGTTGGTTCCTTAAAATTACTTGATCCCTAAGTGGATTTAGTTTCTCTCTTGACAATATGCTGATAATGAAAAAAAAAATGCTTGATAAAAAGCATGCTTTGAATATTGAAATTATTTCTACATTGCATATTTATCTTGAAATGTCTGCTGCATTTTAATTTCCAATGATAGCAATTAATAAACCGGCTAACCTCAAACAAGAAAATCTAAAATTCAAACTGTTTGGGGATTGGGTTTCGAAGCACCAAAAAAATACTTTCAAAACAAGCCCATAATAAAGAAATAATGTGAAGCTAATTTTTTTTTTCCTACTTTGCCCTATTGGTTTCTATTTGTGCAGTGCACCTACTTTGTTTTATTTTATTAATTTTAGAATGTCAAGATTTTATGCATGATCACTAAAAATTCAACATTCTATCAACAAATTACATGCAAAGCATGTTACTTTATTTTTATTGGCATCAAGGTATTTAACTGGTATGTTTTCTGATACAAGTTTAATTTAATTTGTTTTATGAGGATTTGGTGGTTTGTAAAATTTACTATTTAAATAGTATATCTCCATTTAACAACTAACACCATTGATGCACTAGATGCTGAGGTGAGTTGTGGCCTGGTTGGAATAATTGTTGTGGTTTGGGAGTTGTCTGGAATAAGATTGGTTTGGTGCATAACGCACTTTTGCACTAACAAAGAGTTTTCAGTGTTGGGTAATGAATCCTTAGGCTAGACAAATTGCTAATCTTAAAGAGGTGGTTTTATTTTTCTTCATTTTTTGGTTTTCATTGGTGAAGTATCATCTAATAATATGTGCAAGACCTTGGGCGAGTGAAGTAAATGCTGTGTTTCCTTTGGTAACAGATTAGCAAATTTTTAAAATTTTTTGCATAGTATTTTTTGCATGTATTATAATTTTTGCGAGATAAGTTTTTAATTCCCAATATTTTAATCATCAAGGTCGCAAATTTTGCTTGAAATAGGCATAAATCATCGCCGTCACTAAGTCGATGCTTGAAAGCATGAACGATATGGAGTATGGTTTATCTTCTTCCTTGTTTCTTCACTTCTATTTATATGGTTTGCCTTGTCTTCTCTTCCTAGTTCCTAATTAATAGCAAGCAAAGCATATTAAGTTTGGTGGCAAATACCTCTGCCTCTGTACAAAATCCATCAGATAAAAACCAAAACACTGATTAATATATGCAATATAAAAGGAATCAGAAGACATGAATGATATGATGGATGCCCCTTATCGAGAAGCAGGCGCCACTCTGCTGGACGAACCAAAATCCAGTATAGTGTTCATGGATCTGCACGGACAGGATGATGATGACATTCGAAAGATAAAGGAATTTCAGTCTTACTTTGATATGCAACTTTTTTCTTTTTTGGTCATTTACCTGTTCTCTTTTTCATCTTTTAAAACATTCTTTTTGTAAAATTCTGTTAATTCTCAGTGTGTGGCTTGTTGGTCATTGTTTATTCAACAAACATGAATTCCACCATTCTTTACCAAAAAAAAAAAAAAAAGCTCAGTTTTTTAATAAAATCTTTATAAAGATAAAGATGAATGGTACTTACTAGAGTCTTTGACCGAGGAACAGAGCTAAGCTTCTTTTGCCAAGAAGAAAGGAGAACTGAAAAAATGGCCGTAAGTCCAAAATGCAGTGGGACGGAAGGTACCCAAGCTGAAGGGCGGGCCCCACCCGCTCCCCCAATGTTCGATTATAAAGGCGTATAATTTTCTATATGCATGGATTTGATTAATTTTGAATCATATTATTTAAAAATAAAATTTTTTATTTTGTTTTTATTAATTAAACTAAAATTTATTATTTTAAAAATTAATTAATTGAAATTAATTCAATTGATTTAATTATTTTTTATTAATTAAATAATAAAATTTATTAAATTATACTATATTTTAAATTTTAAATTTTTTATA